GGCTGCTACTATAATATTAATAAAAATGCAGTGGGAAGACCGTCTCTCTGGTTTTTTAATCACGTTTTTCGATGTTCACATAAATTCAATTTAAAAAAAAAATATTGGTTTTAGTTTGTGGCAAAGTTTCTTTTGATAAATTGTCAATTTTAAAAAAAAATACAGGGAATTAAAATAAATAAAAAAATGTGTGTGGGTGAGGAGTAGTAAATCAAAAAGTCGTGCAAAGGCCATTCATTGATGAAATAGTTTAAACAAATAAACAGTTTCAAAATAAAGTTATGAATCAACATAACTATTTAGACAAAATTAGAAAAAAAAATGAAACCCAAGTTTCAACGAGCGTCTTTTCCGTTGCTAGTTGGTTAAGTGTAGAATGCTGCGAAGCTTAATTCATGCATGCGCCAAAATGCATCCCATCATTTTGTGTTTATCAAAATTTTCTGGCGAGGGGCTTACGAAGATCCGTTCCCCATAGCTTACAACAAGTTTTGTTCGGCGCACTCCATCTCATCTCTGTCCCCAATTAAAGTGACTGTATCGACACATTTTAATCTATTTTTAAAAAAAAAACGTTGGATGTGGGTAATTACAATGTTGTTGTTGCTTTTTTGAACGGACACAATTATCATTTTCCTTTAGAATACGCAATTGGACCATATATTCGTCCAGGGGCGAAACTAAGCTGGGGTTTAATGCATACTATCAAGGGGCTGCACTATCAGCATGAATGTATAGCATGGCGGGGGCGACGAAGTCAGAGCTGCCCTGGACGTCAAAATGCCTAATTTTGGTGCAGATAGATGCCCTGCACCCCGCCACCCCCTATGCCTGACACTGACATGCTAACCCCACTCACCCGCGGATAATATTACGTTAAAGAAACTGGCCAAAACACATGGACCAACCTGGACCATAATGCTTTTCATAACATTACTTGAGTACATGGGCGCCCGCAGAACACTTTATGGAGGGGGGGCACAAAAAATCGATTAACTTTCTAGGGGGGGGGGCAAATTTTTTTTAGTAATGTTTTAATGTAGTTTTAATTTACTGTAGCGTATTTGTATGGTGAACGGACGGACTGGACATCAGCTTAGTTACTTTCTCTTTATTTTCTCTTTACTTTGATACATTTTTTGTCTATTTTTGTCTAAAAATTTTTTATCCAATCAATCCAAGGGGGGCAAGTGCCCCCCTTGCCCTCCCCTGCGGACGCCTATGCTTGAGTAGTTGGCTATATACAGAACCGTGTCGAGGAAAAGCGGCGCTCAGGGCGGACTATTTAAGACGATTTTGACGCCACTGTCTATGACTCTGTGTGAATACTTGGGATTTTACCATTTAATTCACTATTAAGGGCTGACCTAAAGACTATTTTTGCGCCCCCTGATGTTGGCGCCAGGGGTGATTGGGCCTCTCACCCCCTTCTTTGAACAGCCCTGTATATAGAGCGATAGGGGCCTCAGTGCATTACTTTGCCCACGGCCCCGCCAGAGGCGTAGCTGGAATGTTTGGCGCCTAGGGAAACGATTCATTTTTAAGCGCCACCCTTCATTTTTTTCAACTCTCAAACCCATTATTTTCATCAATTAAATAATATTAAAGCACATTTTGATGCCCTTAACTTGTCCGGCGCCCAGTGTCATCTGCTCCCTCTCTGACCCCCTTAGCTACGCCTCTGGCCCCCGCTGCTGTAAAGACGGTCCTGTATGAATGTGATAAACTGTACACGATAATTAATACTTGTAATGTTCTGTTTCAATTCACATGGGTGGTGTTACGTCCGACGTAAATCGATCATTGCCATTTCAAACATCGGCTTGTTACATGTGGCTGAATCTGTATGTGGGTGCTGGGGCTGAATCTGTCTGTGGGTGCTGGGGCTGAATCTGTCTGTGGGTGCTGGGGCTGAATCTGTCTGTGGGTGCTGGGGCTGAATCTGTCTGTGGGTGCTGGGGCTGAATCTGTCTGTGGGTGCGCAGATGTTTGATCAGGCTGATTTTGGCACATTTTCTTGAGCATAAAGTGCAGGGGATGGATGGGACAACTCCAATTGCAGAGTTATTTCACGCTTTTCTGGCTTATCTTTTGTGGTAGGAGGCAGCTGTTCTCGTGTTGCCTCATGTTGCATTGAGCACTTGTGTAGAGGGGGTGGCACCACGAGTCTCAATCCTTGGAGGACTGCGCCCCACGTATCCGGGTAAATGTGAAATGTTTGAAGTATGTCTTTAAAATGTTTCTTTTGTCCCCCAGCAAATCGCCTGCCTTTGTCCAGGCTTTTATCATTATCATGTTATCACTACCCATCTTCTACTGATCTACTGCATCCTGGTCTATTTCCAGTCATCTTGAAATATTCTTGTCATTGAATCAAATAGACAGGTCAGGACGAGACAGAGAGAGAGGGGGAGGGAGAGAGAGAGAGAGAGAGAGAGGCTGACAAAATGAGCAACTCTCACTCAGTTTAAACAAAATACAGCTCTAGTCAAGGCTACTACTCCAGCCTTGTTCATTTTCGCATAGGTCAGGTGAACAATAATAATAATATATAAGTTTTCTTTCCCCGTGTCTATGTATTTCGAATTGCACAACATTAAAATTTTGCCTACACATTTTCTGAAGCAGCACCCCCACCATGGGCGCCCGCAGAAAACTTTCAAGGGGGGGGGGCAAAAAAATCGATTAACTTTCTGGGGGGGGGGGCAAAATTTTTTTGGTAATGTTTTAATGTAGTTTTAATTTACTGTAGCGTATTTGTATGGTGAACGAACGGGCAGGACACAGTAGAACGAGATCAGCATCAGCTTAGTTACTTTCTCTTTATTTTCTCTTTACTTTAAAACTTTTTTGTCTATTTTTGTCTAAACTTTTTTTATCCAATCAATCGGGGCGGGGGAGGTGCCCCCTCCCCCCTTGCGGGCGCCCATGACCCCCACTAGATCTAATTTAAATCACGAGCCGTCACTGGTTTTTGGATAAAGTCGGCGTACACCCATGAGGGAATTCCCGTTTACATTCCATACACTTTATTTTCTACTTTAATCTGTCTTGTAAAAGAAACTTTTTTTTCTTCTTTTTTTGTTCCATCAGTTATTGTTCATATTTTGTTAGATAAACAGAGAAACGTTAATAAAATAATTGATTCTCGTCACTTGGTATGACAGAGCCCCAAAACTGAAAGACTTGGCGGCACGGGTCAGAGATCGGCGTTTACGTTCACCACATACAGGACCGTGTGATGGGGGGCACACCCCCCAGGCGTACACATTCTTTGGAAAGGACCTTAGAGAATTAAACGATAAACTTCCACGTACTTCACCAAGGCGAGGGGGGGGGGCGCCAAAATTATCTTTTACTCTTCCGCCCAGGATGGAACTTATTTCTGTCCCCATCCGCTTGTTGTCCTCTCGGATACAACATTTCAGCTAAGTGTTATTTTTTACATTTTAATTATGTTTTTACTGTTTTTTTGTTCACCGATGAAGGCTTCTTGCCGACATGTTCGTTGATTTGCTGCGTTCATTTAAAAAAATAATATTTTTTTTAGGTTTTCCCATACTTTGTTTCGTTTATTTCCTTATATTTCTATATAACACACATCCATTACTCTCTCGGGTGTGCGTATTGAGTTAGCTCAAACAGTGCGGTACCTGGGTGTCTACCTAGATAGAAGACTAACTTTTGAAAGTCATATTAACATGCTATGCAAGGCGATTTTTCTGGAGCTGCGCAGGATTAGTCACATCAGGCCCTTCCTAACAATTGATGCAACAAAGAGGCTGATGTCTGCATTTGTGCTATCACGCATGGACTATTGCAATGCTCTCATAGTGGGTCTTCCAGCTACGCTCCTGGATAAAATTCAAATAGCACAGAATAATGCGGCTCGCATAGTTCTCCGCAAACGCAAATTCGACCATGCAAAAACACTTCTGAGAGAGTTGCATTGGCTGCCGGTGCGTGCTCGCATAGAGTACAAAATCGCAACTTTGTGCTTGGCGACGAATGTACTGGACCGCGGCAGGATAGACTTTCTCGACGATACGCCTTATGTACCCACTAGAGAGCTCCGCTCATCCGATAGTGGCAAACTCTCGACACCACGTGTTTGCCTTGAGACTTATGGAAAGCGCACTTTCGCATTTGCTGGTCCAACAATTTGGAACGCCCTTCCTGTCGATCTCAGAAACAACCAGACACTGGAGTCCTTTAAAACCGATCTAAAGACACATCTATTTCGCAAATACCTTCTGGGATGATTGTCTACCTTATTTTCCAGTTAATGCATAATGGCTGTGTTGCTCCGGGTTGAAATGGCTAGAAAGACTTTGACATTGTATGCTTGTAATTAGTTTTTGTAGTGTTGCGTTTGTTTTAAATGTGGTAGCTTATAGATATGTTTTTTGTTGACTTTGTACCGCGCTTCGAGCCTTTGGGGATGACGCGTGTTTTTGAAATGAACTTTATTATTATTATTATTATATTTTCAAGCTTCATCGATTAGTTACATTACTTCAGCCCGGGCGCCGCTTTTCACCGGTAATTGCATACACCAAATATGGCTTATATTATTATGATTGATGTGTCACTCATGCTTTGTTTTTTACGTGAGTCATGGGCGGCAAAACTGAGGGGCGCCACTAACTCTAGCGACTCCACTGCATCGAATCACTCGGTCGGGCAAAATGTCAATCAATGAGTATGGACTTTATTAGTACAGTATCAAAATCAATATCATACTCAGTATAGTCATGCAGGCTAGAATAAGCGATAACAATGTAAGTGGGTCATGGTGGAAAAGTATAAAAATGAATGAGCCATAAAAATTAAAGAATAGCAAACACCGATTTAATTATTTATATTATATTTGTACGAAATTTCTCCATTTTGGATGACATATGCATTCTAGCCTCTAATCTCCCCATACCACCCTAAACAATCAAAGGGAAAGCACTCTGGATAATGCCACGTTCCTTCTCGCGAGATGTTAATTCTTTCTTTTTGTCAACAAAAAGTTATGGTTGACGCCTTTGCATTGTTTGCATGCCATTCGTTACTGTGACTGTGAAAGCAGCTACTTTAAGCTATTGAATTAGAAATTCTCTTATGAGTCATAATGACTAGAGTTCCTAATTAATAATTAAAGGTAATAAAGAAGAGACGTCTCCAGTATAGTTCTAAATAATTTAAGTTTTTGAAGAAGTTGGCCCTAGCCTAATAATTTTACCTTAAACTTAAACCTACTACCTAAAATTTAAATTAATGATCAATCCTGGCCACAAATTGATGCCGGTAATTATTGGTGAAGTTAAAAACTAACCTACTAAATCTAAGACGAGTAGGCCAACTTCTTAGACATATACTGACATAATATACCTCATAGTGTGTTGTCAGCAATACAACATTTTGAACATTGATCTTAAACTTAAAATCAGTTGAAATATTAAATTAATAATTAATTCAGCAATTTGTAAAGACTAGTAAAGAGTTAGTTCAAGTTAGGGCTATATCGTCAATCATCAATTGATTTGGCTAATGCAGAGAGAATTGGTCCCATTATGGATACATTTAATGTTCAGGTTAGGTTTAGGGATACATTAGTATTAGGCTTAGGCTAATCATTAGGCATGATTAGGGTTCAGGGGCTAGGTTTAGTGACAGTGAATTATAAAAGTTCACGGGTCGTGGCAACAAAGATGGCGGCCATGTGATACGTCATGCCATGGCACCAAGTGTCTGCATTTACTGAAAAAATTAAATATTTTGGTAAATGCAAAGAGAATGCGCCATGACGTATCACACGGCTGACATCTTGGTTGCTAAAATTAGGAATAAAACGTTATGAATAGAATGAAAAAATGTCCCTAAATTTAAATTAATGTATCTCTAAACCTAACCTGAATCTTAAATCAATAAAAAATGTATCCCTAAACCTAACCTGAACCCTAAATTACTAAATCTATCCCTAAACCTAAAGAGTGAACCCAAAACATGTAAATGACATCATGGCATATTCTCTTTGCATTGACCAATATTTTTAAAATTCTCTTCTAGTTCTAGGGAATGCGATAACAAAATGTAGGGCTAAGAAATGCTAAGATACTAACTTCTACTACTTATGTATTTATCAAAATCACTTCGTAAACTTGAGGAGAAACCCCATCCTTATGATAAAAAACAAAGCTCTTCTTTTTTTCCTTCTTTTTTTTGAATAGTTTTATTTGCATCATTACCAAGGTTATTAATTCTATCTTCAAAACTTAAAAGTTTTCCTAACCATTCCCTGTAACATAATATTACTATAATGTTAAGACTAAGACACCCCTAAACTAACAATCCAGTAACATTTTAATTAAGACCATTTGGGAAACTAAATATATACAGGTATATTTGCAAAAAACCTCAAATTTTTTTTAAAAAGTTATAATTGCCTTAAGGATAATGAGCAAAATTAAGAGATATTGTGTTACAATTTACAAATCATTTACACAGGGTCAGTCGGACAAAACTCAAAGGATGTGAGCAAAAGGCTGCTCATCTTATGGAGCCCTTTGATTTGACGTTTCATCAGGTGACCTCAGATGATAGCCTCAGTGATTCATCAAGTTTTGATTCATTTAGCAATGTGGTTAACTATGAAACAAGTTTTGCTCATTCTAACCAGTCTCTTCCACTAAACAACTACAATATTAATACGGTTCAGTATACCTGGAAAGGTAATTATTAGAGTGTTGCTTTGTAGTTGCTGAGATAAATTTTTACATGTATTGCAAGGAAGTTCGCGAAATGAAACGCAAGTGCATAGGAAACCGTTATATTTGAAATTTGATGATCCTTTAGGTGTGTTAAAGGAAGGGATGCGGTTGAAATACCAATTCAAAAGTGCAGTGGATAGATATTAAGTAATTGTATATACTTATATGGTGCTAGACATACATAATATGTGTAGGATTGGCTTTTAAATTTCTATGATTTAATCTATATTTCCTAAATGACATTTTTAGAGTTAGTGTAGTGGCATTATATTATTTAAACAATTTTTTTACCAATTTTTAAAACTTCTTTAGTGAAAAGAATTTGATAAATTTGTAATTTTATAACACATTTAACTCTCAAATAAAAAGATATTGGTTAATTTGTAACAAAATGCATTTTCTCCCCAGACTATACTTATCCAACAACAACTGCAATACAAACAGCCAACGGTGGAGTCCCCACAGGTCACAACAGTTACACAGCTCAACACCAACCTGTATGGTGCAGCAGTGTGCAAGGTAGCCCGCCACATCGGTCATTTCTAGTACACCCGGACGACTCTTTAGGGGAGCCTAAATATTACTCTGACTTATCTTCGATACAAACAACAAAACAACAACTTCAAGTTCTCGCACAGGTTGGGTTTTTTTACATTCTGTCAGATTCTTGCTTAGTGAAATAACAATGGTGCCAGAATAACCAAAACCTAAATTTGGAGAGTTTTCACAGCATTGCATATATTTTATGTTTGGCTTAACTTATTTAGAAAAAAAATCTTTGTTTCTATAGATTTCTTCAAACACCTCAGCTGTTACAAGAGAAGGCAAGCGCTGTCAGCGATTTATAGCTCGTACAGTTACATCACCTTCGACTCCCATCCCTCCCCCGCCAACAACCATGTCTCGACAGTCAGACAGCCCATCAAGCATGATAACCCAAGAACCTGGAATCCCCAGTCATGAACAAGGAGGTGATGAGAATAATGGGCAGGAAGCTGAAGATAACAGTTTTGAGACTGTAGCTGAAGCCCTTCGCCTACAATGGTCTGTTATAGGTATGTGTAATTGTAAAGCGCTTAGAGCTGTAAGGTAAGCGCTATACAAAAATGCCTAAATAATAATAATAATGTGTAAAATATTTATTTTGAAAAAAACTTCATGTAAAATAATATTTCCTAGATTCCTAATAATCCTTAAGAAGACATTAAAATTATAAGTTATTGTTAAATAAATGTACTTGATATAGGAAAAGGAAAAAAACTTGTCAAAACTTTTTTATTATCACATAAAGTTGGTGAATTCTGATAAATTGTCCGAGCTTAAATGTCTTGGAAAGACTACCACATGCTTATTTCCTTTATGTTCTGCATACATATTTATGATCACTTTGTTTGAATGCACAGGAAACAAATCACTGACACCTGTGTCTCCTGAAATTGTGGCACAGATAGTTGCCCAAGCTGAGCAGAAGATGAAAGCTGGGGAGCTGAATCCATTTCCTTCAAAGCATCAGCTGGCTGCATCTCCCGTTTCATTTGATCTGGTAATATATATTTATAAATTAAAGGACTGCATTCAAGATATTTTCATTTCTACTGTTAGTTTAAGAAGGCTTTATGCCGAAACCTCCTTTTCTTTTTGTCCTGTTCTCTAATTCAAGCTTCCACATACCTCGTTTTGCTATTTAATTCATTTGATATATATTTATTTAGTAGTCTGTTTGTTTATCCAACGTTTTATGTAATTAATTTTAAGGAGGATCCACCCTGTCGGCAGATCACCATTTTTAAATTTTAAGGAAGAAAAAGACATGCTTCACTTGTTAGTATTTTAGAATAAATAGGCTTCACTTGCAATGAAAAATACATTAGTATCTGTTTTGATAGCATGGAAATCGTTATTTAAAAGACAGTGTTATGATTTAAATTTATTCCTCATTGATATGAATTTATACTATCTTAAGTGAATAATATGAGTATCATGGCAAAGATCCAATAATTTTTTATTGAGATTGACATGGATATCTAATAATTAACTTTATGATATCAAAATAGGAGGCCAACAGCAGCAACACAAAGACCAGTCCTTCAGATTCTACAGCGCCAGCCATTGCTTGTATGCTGCACGAGACGCACACTGGGGACTGCCCAAGGGAACTGAAGCGGATTATTCCAACGGAGATAACTACAGAAAAAACTCAAAGTGGCCCTTGGTTCGCTTCCAAAAACAAAATACCAGAACCAGTTGTGCATGAAACGAATGGCAAGTACAGTCCTTCATTCAGAGATGTTAAGCCACCAGCTACAATAATGTCCTCCCATCACGATACCACCAGCAGAGATGGAGTCTCTAATGCACAGGTGGGACAGAATGCTGTCATTAATAAACCAGCAGCTCCCCCACCTGTTGTGGCATCTCCCATCTCTAAGACTGACACCTCTGATACCATAAGTGAAGCCAGCTATTCCAGTGAGTTGGAAATGGAGAAATATCTACAGACACCATTAATAGCTGCTGGAATCTCTGCCAACTACCAGCTTGAGTCTGAGGAGTTCCTTCGCTCACTCCCTCCAATAAAACCCATTAATCTTGAGGCATATGCAACCCTACCGCTTCTACCGCCAAGGCCAGCAAAAATCCCAGACAAAAAACAAAAAAGTTCCACAGTTACTGCATCTTGGGACTTGACCAAAACCACAAGTGTTGATAGAACCAAAGACAATAAGGTGGAAACCTCACCCTCAAGCACATCAGGATCCACGGTTTCTTCACCATTCCAGCCCTTGACACCGCTGTCTTCTTATGACAGCTCACAGGGAAGTAGTTTGCAATACTACTCCACACCTGACTCAAAACTTACAACACCCCAAAAGCTGTTTCCAGCTCACCACTCAGGGTTACCCTTGTCTCCATTTTCTCCATCAGATCAAAACACTTTGTATCACTCTGCCATGTCTTCCGGGGACTCTCCTTCCATGAGTTTATTCAGCAAAAAACAGTTTGATGAAGTTCTGAAAGAGAAGGCGAAGCTGCAGGGGCAGCTGGAGGTACTTGCTGATGAATCACAAAATATGTTAAAGGTCAGTATGTAATATGTTGATGCACTAATTGCAATAATCCAATATAGTCCATGAATAATGAAATCTTCAGTAGAATTTATTTGTTGCATTATTAATTTTGTTTCAGTTGAGAATTTTAATTATGACGTTAAAATAATTGTTTACATGGGTGGTTTATTTTCTGATGATGTGTAAGTGAAAATACCAACCGTGGTGTCTAAAAATAATTAAGCATTGAAACTTAGTCATATCAGGCATAGAAAGCCTACATAATGTTTATAATATCTGAGATGAAACCTTTCATAAAAGCAATCATAATTTCACTTTTTCATCTTTAGTTTTTACCATCTATTTTTGAACAGAAAAAAATGCAACAACTCTCATCAGTCATATTTATAATCATCTCTTTAGCATCCCTTAAGATGCCACAATATTTTTTAATATAATTCTTAGACCCTTGTCACTTATTTATTTACTAATCCACCATCAGGAAAGGGCAGAGCTTCAAGCACAGCTGGCCTCACTGACTGGTAGGCTGTCGAAGCTTCAAGTGTCGGGGAGTGGCTCAGGGACAGATATCACTATAAAAAAGGAAGTTGAGAACCTCAGGGAGTCGAGAAAACTGTTGGAGAGCACCCTTCTGGATGCTAACAGGATGCTGTCAGAGAAGGCTGAAGAAGTTAGAGCACTCCAAGACGAGCTACAAGTTGCCCAGGATACTGCTACAAAATTACAAGTAAACTGATGACATTTTATGGAAGATGTTTGAACAAAATTTTAACTTGATCAGAAACTCGTGTAATTAAAAATATATTTGGTAACCTTATATGTAATTTAGTAATAACCTATATTTTAAAATTTTTCCATTGGTAATAAGTATAAAAGATAATGCAGAAAATAAAAATTAATTTAATTTTAATATCATTTGGACTGTCGGAATCTGATAACATATTATAAATCTAAACATTTCCTTCGTGCCTGTCAAGTAATTTTATTTTATTTTGTTGTTTCCTTCTGTAGGTGAGGTCTCAAGAAATGAGGGATGATGTCAGAGCTAAAGATATGAACATTCAGGCTTTAAAAAACAAGATTGGTGAGCAGCATCATGGCTCATAATATTTTGTCTTTAATGACATTTTCACTTATGTGTGTCTCATTTAAAGATACTAAATATATAATTTTAAATTGTTTTGCATTGGAAACCACCCCATTAGATTGTGTTGGGGTGAAAACAGATTATGTTTACTATACTGATTTTCCTGTTGCTATTGTTTGTCTCTAGATTGTAAAGACAAATAATGTTGACCAAAAAAAATATCCTTCCTTCAGCTGAACTCTATGTGGAGGTGCAAATGAGCATTCAGGCCAAGATGGAAGCTGACACAGAGGCACGCACTAGCAGGAACGACCTCATGTCACTTGTCAAGGCCAAAGAGTGGTACCAGGAACAGTTACAGGTGGCCCATGATGTCAGGTCCAAGCTACAAAGGGAGCTTACTATTCTTCAGGTTGGTTTTAGTATCACACGATTTGGATAAGGCCTCAATACTGTACGGAGAGAGAAAGATAGGGAGAGAAGGGGGGGGGGCATAATCTTGGTTCTGTATCAGGGCAACTAAAACATGGATCTCTAGCTTCCTCAGCCACCGATGCCAAGCAGTAGTGGTGGACGGTAGAAGCTCCTCCTTTGTCGATGTGAAGTAAGGGGTCCCCCAGGGATCAGTCCTGGGCCCCAGTTTGTTCCTAGCATACATTAATGACCTACCCGAGAAACTGACATCACAGACAAGACTGTTCGCTGATGACACAGCAGTGTATAGGACGATCGCCAACAGATCTGACCAGGACCAGCTACAACAGGATCTCAATCTGTTAGCTGAGTGGGAAATGAGCTGGGACATGGAATTTCACCCTGCCAAGTGCCAGACACTATGAGTACTATCAGTCTCTAGAAGTTGTACTCCTCTACACTACCAATACGAACTGCACGGCCATATACTTGAGCAAGTTTCCTCCGTAAAGTACCTGGGTGTTACCATTCAAAGAGAGGTCCGCTGGGACAAGCATATTAACAATGTATCTAACCAAGCAAACAAGACCCTAGGGTTCTTAAGGCGAAATCTAAAGATTGGCAACTCCTGTGTGAAAGAAAGAGCATATAAAGCCTTTGTCCGTCCGATTTTAGATTATGCATCTTCAGTCTGGGACCCATTTACCCAGAAGAGCATTGACAGGTTGGAGGCGGTCCAGCGACGAGCAGCACGCTTGTCCTAAACCGCTACAGGAAGACCTCTAGTGTTGGCAGCATGCTGGAAACACTAGGCTGGTCACCATTGGAGAAACGATGACGACAATCCAGGCTCTCCATGATGTACAAGATAAATAATGGGCTGGTCCACTGTTCCAGTATTAAACAGAAACTCGTTCCTCCTCCCCATAGACAGCGACAAGGCCATGACAGGCAATTCAGGCTCATACCAGCAAGAAGCCAGTATAGGAGCTGCTCATTCCTGCCCAAGACAATCAGGGACTGGAACAATCTTTCAAAAGGAATGGTTGAGGCAACAACACTAGACACATTTGTGTCTATTGCCTCAAGCCTTCAAACCCCTAGTGCATGATTCCCTCAATTTTACACAAAGTGGCACTGGAAATCAGTGAAATTTCCTCATCAACACCAGGAACAGAAACATTGCTAATCCCATCTACATGCATAGGAGCCAAAATGATCAATAAATTGATCGTGGGCCCTTAAGATATAGAAGAAGAAGAACTATTTTTAAATAATATCGAATAAGTGGACATTGAGCCCTATCTTGTTGCCTTTGATGCATTCATTTATTTATCTTTTTTACAATGGTATCCATACAATTGATTCTTCCATTTAAATTTGGGTTTAAATGATGTATATCACAAATAATAATTCTCTAGGTATGCATTTATGTCTGTAATGCTGTGTTCAATAGGTGTGCAAAATAAAATCCCCAGTAGTTAGCACTAATTGGGATTTTTATAAACTCCGTTACTTGAATGCATGTTTTGTCAAGTAACTTTCATTCATGCATTGCCGCCACCATTGTTGGGCAGGCTATTGATAAGATTTCATGATTGGTTTCATGCCCCCTTTACATCACAACTTGTAGTTCTATATTATGTCATCTTACACTGCTTTTTTTTCTTCTTCTTGATTTTAAGTAAGACAAATATCACTATTATTTAGTAAGATAGTGGCACCAGCTGGAATCCAAACAGAAATACATTCTTTGATCACAGTCTCCGATATCTTTAAAAGCATCATCAAAATAAATATATGATTTTTTTAGGGTCAGACAGTCACTCATGGCACCATTGTTGAAAGGTTGAAAACAGAATCAGCCAGGTTGCGTCACCAGCTGGTTGAGACCCAGCAGAGGGCGCTCAGAGACAAGGAACTGTTAGCCCGACATCTGGAGGGAATACAAGCTGACATGATGGAAAGAGAGGCGGCTTTCCTGGAAATTCAGAGGGAGAGGAAACTCTACGAGGACACCTTTAATTATCAGGTGTGCATGATGAAAAACTTTTAGATGTCCCTAATCTTTTTATCAGGTTAATATTTTTTTTAACGCAATAAACAAATTTCCACTGAACCCCACAGTCTCCCGGCTGTGTCATATTTGGTGAGTTAATTGAACCCCATAGTCCTCCGGCTGTATCATATATGGTAAGTTAACTGAACCCCTCAGTCCCCCAGCTGTGTCATATATGGTGAGTTAATTGAACCCCATAGTCCTCCGGCTGTATCATATATGGTAAGTTAACTGAACCCCAAAGTCCCCAGGCTGTGTCACAAATGGTAAGTTAACTGAACCCCTCAATCCCTAGGCTATATCACAAATGGTTAGTTAAAATTTATTTCCTTTATATAATCATGTATAACTTCATTTATGTTGTCAAATCTAAATTGTGAATTTAAACATTTTAAGAAAACAGATTCATGTGAAGTGTGATTTCTGAGTTTAACAATGTTAAATGAACATTTCTCAATAAAAAATTAGATATTTTGTTTAAAGTTTTCCATTAAAAAAGTCAATTTTTTTTACTTTTTTAAAAATAGCAAATATTAATTCAGTCAATAGTAGCACATTTTTGTTAAACTGAGAAGTGTTCTTAAATGTCAAGGTCTCTCTCAGATTGGACTTCCACACAAATATTAATCTGGACTATATTTGGGGGGAGGGGGGAACTAGTTTTAATCTTGTGTACTTATTGTGAGTACTGATAATATTTGAGTACTTGCAATTTTTACAACATTTTTGGTTAAAAATGTACTTATTTATTTATTTTTAAAGGATACAAAATGAGATGCATATGCATAGCTCTTAGATTTTAACTGGAAAAAATCTTTCAATCATTGGGGATGTTACATTATCTTTGAATAAATTACCAGATATTAAAATTTTCATGTAATAAAAATCTATGACTAAATATTAATTATAACTGATTCCAGGTCACAACAGCCGAGGAGGAGAAGTCCAGGTTGACCATGCTGCAGCAAGCAACTCATGATCTAGAAGCTCAGCTTGACAGAGCCCATTCAGAGGCGAAGAAACGGCATGATCAGCTGCTGACTATGGAGAATGGCCAGATGGATGTCATGAAGAGATTGGCCGTAGCGGAGGAGACTCTGGGAGAAAAGGAGAGTGCTTTAGTGGATATGGAGCAGAAACTCATTCAGGTTTTGTTTCTTTATCACATTTCATGCCCTTAATAAATTTACTATAGGACAATTGCTTCCGCCAATGTGTTCTGTTATAAATGCATATCTAATGACTGTGTAATGAATGTGTCAGTTATTTACAGAGTTCCCCATTATTTGCTATTTCATCCATCCAGATGGAGTCCCAGCTTCAGGCTGTCATGTCTGATCTCACTAAAAAAGACAATGAAATGCTCAGCCTTAAAGAAGAGAAAGCTTCTACAGAAATTGCCCTCAAATCAGCCCTGCAAGAGAAGGCATCTGTTGACAGAGCATTGGAAGTGCTGAAAGCAGATATGGGAAAGGTAAGGCAAGGATTAAGACACATTCACATTCAGTCACTGAGGTTCTCATCTCTAAAGACACATTTAAAAAGAAATATCATTTGTAGCTTTATAGCCAACTAAAATTTAAATGGAATATTTGACTGTCTCAGTGTTAATGGAGCAAATCTTGACTTTACACTGTCATACAAAACTGGTATAAATCTTCACCTTATTTTTGTTATAAAGGTGGAACAAAGCTTCAAGCAGATGAAACAAGAGCTCAGTGTCAGATTGACTGAGCTGCAGCAGGTCAAGGGAGAGAAGGACAGGCTTCTGGTCAGTTGTATGTCTATAATTGAATGTTCTTGAAGACAAGATTAAGAATGTAAAAAAGAAAGAAAAAAAGATATCTTTCACCAAGTCACTCCAAGCAGCTTTTTTTTTTTTTTTAATTTTTTTAAAAAAAATTTTTTTTCCTGTCAAAGTTTTTGCCGGTGTGCCGGTTTTTTTTTTATTGAATGTTCTTGAAGACAAGATTAAGAATGTAAAAAAGAAAGAAAAAAAGATATCTTTCACCAAGTCACTCCAAGCAGCTTTTTTTTTTTAAGTTGTTTAAAAAAAATTATTTATCCTGTCAAAGTTTGTGCCGGTGTGCCGGTTTTTTTTTCAGTAGAAATAGTAATTCATTAAATTCATTTGTCCCACAGCGATCCCATTTTCATTTCATCTTGTTATCAAAACCATAAAATATTGTTTTAATATGATGTTCATTTGTATTACAATCCAGCAGAAAACAGCTTGATAATTTTTAATTAAAAAAAAAATGTTTTTTAAAGTTATATTTTTATAGTCAACCTACTGTCAATGCCTTTATACTTAATAAATATGTTTACTCATACTTCCATTCTATGTCACAGGAGGACCTGGATCGGGCCCAACATGAACTGGAGATCAAGTCTCTGAGTGTGGATGCCATGACCAGGAACTTTGATGGTCAGTCTGCAGCCCAGCATAACTTGGAGGCTGTCAAGTCGAATTTGGAGGAACAGCTCAATGGACTGAGATTAAAGGTCTGCAATCTTAAATTACTGAACTCTTGTTAAACCGTCAATATCAGTAACTGAATGTAGATGTCACTGTTGAACATGAAGTCTAGATGTTTACCTCTGGTGAGTTCCCATGTAAACAGGTTTTCATAAAGTATTATTTTCATCTCAGGTGCAAAGCTTGGCGTTTGAGCTTGGAGAGAAGGAGGTGATCATTGCTGAAGAAACAGAGAAAGTGGTAACTGATCCCTAGTATTTTATTTGCATCCGTCCTTTAGAAAGCAAGCCTATACTCTGTGAAAATTTTTTTATTCCACACATCTTTGCAGTCATTAATTTAAAAGATATATTTAGTTCATTTTTTGTTACAGTGCTACACTTGTATTATAATTGTTCATAAGTTTTTTTTTTTTTTTTAAATATTAAATTAAAAAAAAAAAAAAAATAAAAAAAAATAAAAAAAAAAAATAAAAAGAAAGCTGAACATTTCAGACCAAACTCTCGGTTAAAGTGGCCGAGCTGGAAGTCAAGCTTGAAGCTGCCAAAGATAGTGTTCCTGTGGACAAGATACGAATCTATGAAAATGAGATGGAAGAACTACGTCTCCGTATTCGAGTGCTGGAAGAAACAGAGGTGGAGGAAGCTAATCAAGTAGAGTCGGAGAGAGAAAAGCTGCACGCAGAGATTGCAAGGCTGAAGGAAGAACTTCTGGACAGACAGAGGGCCTACACTGAAAACTTAGATATTTTGGATCAAAGGTTAAAAGAGGTTGGTAGGGTCAAGACTAAGTTAAATCAGTAGGGTAGGGTAGATCTTATCTTAAATAAAACATTAAAAGTAATTTTTTTTTTTAAAACATGTATCTGGGCCAGCCAATCTCCCCAAAAAACATCATCCATATAACATTAAAGACATTTTGTTGAGTAGCTGTGGCAGTCACAGTTCCCTATTGAATGTGTCTTTATTTTGACACATCTTAACTCTTAGTGACCGTAGGTCTAATCCACGTTTTGACTGAGTAATATTGTTGTGATAAAATTTGACCCTAAGTGACCAAAGACAATATTTCATAACTTTTCTAGTAAAATTGCGATAAAAAAAAAATTCCTTGGACATTTGAAAAATGTAAACACTGGAAAAGGATGTGGGAATATTGATCTGGAGAAAATACCAAAATATTTATATAAAATCCCAAAATTAAAGAGTCACTATGAAACGCCACATAGACTGGCTCATGTCAAAACATGACCGACGGAAAGCCATTTAGACTGGAGTATCGGACTTTAAGAATTAAGTTGGACATTTTTTTTTTTAAAACTTAAGAGCTAGTAGTAATTTAAGATGAGATAGAATTTTGGCTTGCGATTTAGTCTGTAGGGTTAAGGATTAGTGCTCATCTCTTGTAAACTAAATGCCTTTGTGCTAAACTTTTCAGCTGACCGCTGACAAGCAACAACTAGAGATTGAACTGGGCATTGCTCGCAGATCTGAGGAGCTGACGCAGCTGGAGGAGAGGGATAGTTATACAGAGGAGATTCAGGTACCAAGATTCGGTCTTGCTTAAAATTAGGAGTGAAAAGACAGGTTTTTTAAAATTTTACCCTTAAAGCCAAGAGCTGCCGTTTCCAAGCTTATTTAATCTTTCACACTAAAACTTTTGTTTTTCTAAATTTTGTCAAACCAATCAAGTATGAACATTTTGTTTTAGGTTAGATTTGATGAATAAATTTATTATTTCTATAAACCAGTTTTTATAAATGTAAAAAAAGTGCAACACACCTTTAAACTTGTCTCATTGCAAGACACTGGTTGAAAACCTCTAACACCTCTGGCTTAGAGAGTTCTTATTTATATCTAGAGCTGAAAGAATGTTGAGATAAGTAGGTGTGTTATGTAGTGAGGTACATGAGTCATGGGTCCAGTGATGAGATTATTATTTAATATAAGTAAGTAAAAATAGTCTTTGATATGCTATTTCATTGGAGATGGCAAATATTTTGAAAACAAAAGAAATATTTCAAGTGAAAATATCGAAGTTAGTCAAGTAAAGTATTTTCTAAAAACCCATTGGCCATATTTTTATAAACATTTTTCCATCACACTCTTGCCACCCTCAAAACTAAATTACTTCAGGCCTTCATTCCCAAGGTCACCTGCTGTATTTTTCTTAACAGAGTCTGACCAATGAGCTCAAGAGAGAACGATCTGCAAAGACTGAGCTTGAATATAAGCTCCTGGCCACCCAAGCCAGCAAAGCTGCTGAAATTGAGGCTCTGCAGCAGAAGCTTGCTTTTCAGACAGAGGCTCTGGAGGGTCTTCAGGCCAGATACACAGCACTAGCAGACGTGGAGATGACCAATCAAATGCTGGAGCTTGAACTGGAGAAAGAGAGAGGCAGAGTCATGGGTGGGTTCCTGTTGTCACGAGATGACATAGTCCATTTAGCAACCTGCTTAATGGCAGTTGTGCTGTTTGTGTTTTCCAAGTACGATGATATCACCTGAGCCAAAAATATATAAGTATGTGTCAGTTAAATACAATAAAAAAAGTAAGGATATAAGTACATATGAATCTGATAAAATTTCAAACAAGAGGCTGGTATTACTGAGTTGCATACAATTAAAAAACGAAATACCAGTATTAATGAGTTTGATACAATAAAATAAAACAGAAGCAATCCAAGTTTTTTTTCATCCACTGCTTTTTAATTTCAAAGTTCTCATATTTGTTTATGAAAATTTCTTTTTAAAGATTGTTAAAATATTTCTTTGTTTACTTTAAAAATTTTAGGTGTATTTCTTCAACCTTGAACATTCTTGAAAAGTTTAAACTTTGCATTAAAAAAAATTGCTGTATTTTAAATGACCTTTTATAAACTATATGATCTACAAGAGGAATTATCATTGTACCTATTTCATGTTATTCCATACATATATAAATGGAAAAAAATTGGATTAGTATGTGGTAAAAATATTAAAAAACAAAATAATGATTAAAGTGGAAGCTCCGGTAAAGACAAAACAAAGCAATGGACGTTGTGGCTAAAAGATTTCATCAACAGACAAGAAATATAAAATAATAAAGCTATAAATAAAACATAAAGGAAAAAAGGACACAAGGCCCCAGGCTGAGAACTTTACCTGTGGAATAGAAAGTATTCTGTCTAATAGTAAAGCTTCACCCTACATCCTTACATTTGTCAATGTACAAAGTCATTCGTGCTTGAAAGAGCTAGTGAGAATCTTAGTCAGAATCAGTTGAATGTTAAAATTTGCAGACTTAACTTTGCAGGTCTGAACCAGAAGAATGCAGAACTTAAAGATCACACTCATCAGCTGGAGGCATCGCTGGCTCAGAGAGAGTCTGCCCTGGAGGACCTCAGGAGGTCAGTGGAAGAGTCCGCCAAGGATTTGGAGAACAGGGACCATAAGTTCTTGGACAGGATATCTGCACTGGAAAAGTCGGTGGAGAAAGAGGTTTCTGTGCAGGGAGAGCTACGGAAGCAGGCAAGAAGTGTTTTTATATGTAATGCAGGATGCCATAGTTTTGTCACGCCCTTTTGGCTCATCTCGGACGTTTGGGTAAATCCATTTGGCTTTATTTAGGCCAGGTCCCAAAGCATGGTCCTGCTTTATGTAAGCTAGATGTGTTTTGAATAATAGCTTAACTTTTAATGAATTAGTTTACAAGTTAAAAATTAGCCAAAAAATGTGAAGTATCACGATGCCACAGGGAATTTGAAAACTAAATTAGGGGTCTGAAACATATTTCTTTACAGCTGCCCTTTTTGATTGTTCAAATCTCTTATATCCCTTTACTAATAATTATTTATCATTCATGTGCTGTGTCTTCTTATATCAAATCTATGAATGAACCTTTGTTGACCTGATTGAGTGTGACCTGACTGAGTATTAGTTGATTGCGTGTTGGCTGAGCGAGTGTGAGCTAGCTGATCGTTAGCAGATTGAGTGTGACCTGACTGAGAACGACCTGACTGCGAGTGACCTGATTGAGTGTGACCTTCTCAGTGTGAGCTGATTGAATGTGAGCTGATTGATTCATTTTTGTAATACATACATACGGGTGTAATGTTTACATTCTATAATACTTTCATATGTGTGTAATGTTTACATTCTATGATACTTTCATATGGGTGTAATGTTTACATTCTATAATACTTTCATATGGGTGTAATGTTTACATTCTATAATACTTTCATATGGGTGTAATGTTTACATTCTATAATACTTTCATATGGGTGTAATGCTTACATTCAATGATACATACAGATGGGTGTAAAGATAATGGAGAACAAACGGGTCAAAAAACAAAATGAAAACATCAAACTTGAGCTGGAGCAGCTGAGGCAAGATTTAGCCACAAGTCAGCAGACCGCAGAACAATCCATCTCTGACGTGGAGGCGGCCAATCGTTTGGCCCAGAGTCACTTGTCAGATGCCAGGGAAAACTCCGCCCAAATTAAGGCTCTGGAGGTGGAGCTGGAGAGAGTGAGGCGTGACTTGAGTGACAATCTTGCTAGGCAGCCGCTCCTCCTAGAGCAGATACAGGTCAGACTCTCATAGATGAATATAATAATTTTACCTTTTTGTTTAGTTTTATTTTGGCTCAGTTTTAATGTCATAAATTTTCTGCTGTTTTTGTACAGCAGAAATATAATTATTAGGACACATATCTACCAAAGTAGTTTTTTTTTCTTCTAAATTTATTTAATAGAATCCATTTGTACCTAATTAATAAGAAATTAATAAATATATGTTTTGGAATAAATTAGTACCAAAGTACTGAAGTCATTTGTGGCTGACTATGTGATGTAAAGTATACCTGGATGTGTACTTTCAATTATGTATTTAACAATATTTTACGTGTCCCTTAACCTTCTGATGGGCGCGCTCTTTTCGCAACGAGACCGGGCACAGGGTATCAATTTGATATCGCTAATGTGTGATTGGTTAAATTAGTTTATTTTATTGAAATTTGTAAAATTATTTAATTTTTAAATAATTTAACCAACCAACACTATTAAAATTCACCCCCAATAAGTTTAAAAAAAAAAAATTTCCTCTATAACCTTGAGATTCTCAAAATCAAACATTTTCCTACAACCTGCCATGTTAGACAGCAGAAGTAACCAGAATTATATTAGGGTCATTATAAATATCTTGTTTTGGCGCAATGTATCAATATGATTTTTACTGTTTAATAATAAGAAAATGTATTGGTATGTATACTCATATGAAAAAAGTAACTTTCCAGAGCAAGAAAATAATACAATATTCAATCTTCAAAAAAGTAACGTGCTAATTCATTCTGAACGCGTTTTCTACAAACTAAATGGCCTTGGCCTATAAAGGAAAGGAAAACATTAAGCTATTGATAAGCAGAGCTTGGTGTCATCTCTCATTAACATGTGCAAAGCAAAAACGGTTGGCTTATATTAATCTGATCAAGCGGGCCTGACTGAAGGTTAAAAAATAATGGCACCAGCTAAATGATTATTTTTAACTTTTATTTTTTTAAGTCATACATCTAAAGTCTAACATTTTTTGCCTACAAATTTTCACCAATTGCATTGGGGGTGGGACTGGCTTGATTTTTATTGAAGAGATCTTATGATGGTTAACAGAGAAAAATGCTTACCTTTTAAACTGGTAGTAAACAGACTCAGGAATGAAACTATAAATATTATTATAGAATAAGATAGCTGAATCTGTTTTCTCTATTGCCTACATCATTTTATCATTGTTTTCTCTATTGCTACATTTAATTTTTTTCTTTATTGCTACCATCATTATTTTCCTTATTGCTACCATCATTGTTTTCCTTATTGCTGTCATCATTGTTTTCTCTATTGCTACCATCATTGTTTTCCTTATTGCCGTCATCAGAGTCTAGAATGGCAGTGTGCACAGAAAACCAGAGAAGTAGAGGCGGCAAGAGAGCAAATCAAAATGGCAGAGGAACGGGCGCAGGGGGAGATAGAGGTGATCAAAGCATCTCTTCAGGTTAGTCTGTTGAAATATATTGTCATGTTCATCCGTTGTTATTGTATTGTTACAATATGATATGTGGTCATATGATCATGTATGGGGGCTGGATGGCCCAATGGTCTAAACTGAGCATATCTCAAGTTGAAGGTCTGGAGTTCAATCTCCACCAAAGCAAAAACATCCCCAGCACCCTGGGTGGATTGGACTTGTTAACCATGGAGAGCAACTCATCTAAGAGAAGGAATCTCTGGAGCTGTTGTAATATGTAGTCATGCACTTCTTATCAGTAATATCAAGCCTAAGAAGCATAAGAAACAAAAGAAAGAATAACCTTGTGGAAAAAAAAAGATGTCCTCACCGCATTAATGGCTAAAAATATGCATTTAGGATAGGGTGACCAAATGTCCCGTAAAAACGGTATTGTCCCGTTTTTTCATGATCGTACCAGGTGTCCCGAAAAAGTCTCTCGGGACACTTAAATTTCCCGTTTCTAAAACAAAAAACATTTTCAAATCACTAAAACCTCCTAATTTATAATTTATAACTTCAAGTAATATTTTGGCTTGCTGTGTAGCCAGGGCCAGTAGTGATATGGGCTTGCGTGATGGCTGCACTGCTCCCTCCACCACTCTGCCGACGCTGAAAAATTATTGTTTTCGTTCATGATATTCCTCAGAGATTTAATTAAATTACAAAAGTGAAGGTAAATTTAAAAAGATTTCTAGGTTTCAAAATAGTTAAATTGAGCATATTTCAATAAACAGTTTCCAGCGGATGCCTCGAGAACCCTCTTTAGCTGGAGGGTATCCCCCCCAAACCCTCCTTGGGTGTGTCCCGTTTTTTCCAGTTCATGATTTGGTCACCCTAATTTAGGATAAACTTTCAAACCATGATTTTTTGTTAACCCTCTTCTGAATGGCTGAAGTAATTACCTTTGCTTTTTTTACTATTAAAATTTTAGTCGACTAATTTTAAATATGACCTGAACAGATCAACTGCAACCATTAAGTTCATATTTCATCAATCCTGGGTGCAAAGATACAGAAAATGAAGCTCCCATGATGTAAATGATGTTTATTTAAAATGTAATAACTCAGCAGTAAAAAGACATTATCCACTTTACATGAAATAATCTGGAAAATAACAATTAATTAATGTATATTTTGTTAACATTATAATATCTGATTGATATTTTGGTCCAGAAATGTAAAAATTTAGCCACACCTTCCTAAATATTCTGCCCAACCTTCCTTAGTGGACACTCACTCTGCAATATCTTTGATTGGTTTTGAAGTTCATGAAATTTGATTAAGAAATTTAAAACAAGCATGAAGGAAAATAATTTTGTTAATTGAAGTTCATTATTGTCATTCTCAAATGCAGGCCAAACAGTCAGAAATCAACAACTTGCAAGCTGAACTCACACTACTGAGACAAGATAAAACTCACCAGAGGTCACAGGTCAATGAACTTAGGGGTGCCCTGAAAGCATCAGTGCAACATCATAAGGTATTTATTGGACTGCTGAACTTGTTCCGGAACATTTCTTCATTTGTTTTTAAAGCATGCAGGCATGTTCTATCTGCGATAAATTCTTAGGTCACGATTGTTAACAGATAATAAAATCACTACCTCCCACCATAGTTAGACATGACCGTGTATTTTGTCAGGCCCGTTCTTAGGCTTACGCTGACTACGCATCCGCGTAGGGCCCCGAACTTGAGGGGGCCCCTGTGAGGCACCCTCGATCCCCCGTTTTTTTTTCCAACTGGCACTGCAGCCATCTGTGTCACTCTTGTTACCTTCCTCATCCTGAAATTTATCATTCTGAGTTGAATTCGGAGGCAGGGAAAGGGAAGCAGCAGGGGCGGAGCTTTGGGGGTGGCAGACAGGAAATCGGCAGAATGGAGGTGCTGCAGTGGTGGGTTGTGTTTTCTCCTCAGCTCAAGGGATCTCTACCCCCTGACCCCCCCCCCTTCTGGGGCCCCCAATCTACGCTCCATGCTTAGGGGCCCCCAAACTCCTAAGAATGGCTCTGATATTGCCATAATAAAATAAAGTTTGAACTGCTGAGAAGGCTGTGCTGGAAATTGATGATTGTGCTACAGCTGAGTTGAGTTCTTTATTTCAGCTGACCAAACGGATGAACGAAAATGACAGGAGTGATGTTGGGGTCCAGGCGAACATTGAGCGAAAGATTGTTATTCCTCCGCTGCCGTTTGATTTGGCCACAATCGAACAACTCATCCAGGACACAAAAGTAACCCCCCTTGACAGCAAGTAAGTCTTTTTTTGTCAGGTGTGTCAGAAAATGAACTAACACATATGATTTTGTCTGTATTATGGAAATAAGATTCTAAAATTGTGGGCAAATGGCCCATGTAATTATTTGGTTTGTGTACTTTCTCTGTGTACTTTGTGTTCTTTATCTGAGTACATTATATGCGCACTTTATCTATATACTTAATCTGAGTATTTTATCTTTGTACTTTATCTGTGCACTTTATTTTTGCACCTTATCTGTGTACTTAAGAGTTACCTTGTGTACTATTTTTGTATACTATATCTGTGTACTTTATTTGTATACTCTATTTGTGTAATTTATCTGCTTACATTATATGTGTGCTCTATTTGTGTACTATAATTGTGTACTCTATTTGTGTACTCTAATTGTGTCCTCTAATTGTGTACCTTCTGTTCCAGACCCTTGGATCAGCTCTCATCTTGTCTATCATCCCTGAGAGCAGAGATCACTGGACTACAGAAACAAATGGACCGTCACACAACAGCTGTACATACATCAAGTCAGTCATGGAAGTGAGTTATTTGACATTATTGAACTTGGATGAAAGTCATTAAAACTTTAAGTATACATTTTTCTGCGTTAAGAATACAGTGAAGCCTGTAAATTTTGCATGAGACAGGATTTGGGCTGCTTCCACGGGTTTTTGTTAAAAAAATTACCCTCGCTGGTTGTGAGTTAGTACATTTGTCATAAACAGAGCTATTTCAAGGTTTGGTTATTCACAGGTTTCGCTGTCTTATATGTAGCAACTTTCTATTGAGCATTGACAAAAGTTGAATTTTCAGAGTTTTTTGGATATTAGTTTATTTCTAGAGCCTTCTTAATGTTCAGTTACTGCAGCGCCACTTCTGCTCTTGATTTCAACATATTCCTGCACCCCCATCACAATTTCAAAACATATTTCTCGCACGCCCTCGTGATAAAAATTGCTAATAAAAATGCAAATAAACCTGATTTTCTGGGTCTTCCCTAACCCCCTAACACTGCCTCCCTCACCCTCTAAAACTGCCTCCTGCATCCCCTAACACTGCCTCCCGCACCCCCTAACACTGCCTCCCGCACCCCCTAACACTGCCGCCCACAATCCCAGTTAAGAACCTCTTGAGTTGATGCATCTGAGCTACAAGAACAGCATGTGGAATAAATGGGTCATTTATTTTTTTCAGGAGTGTTCAGAGTGAGGTGAATGATCTCAATGAAGTCATGAGGACCATCGCTAACACAATAATAGCTGCCAATAGCACACACACTATACAGATGAGCACAGCCGTTGACAGGGAGCAGGCTGACATTCTGCATATATGAACAGCTTTTTTTATATCACAACTCATCATGGTTGACTGGAATATTACATGTATGACAGCTGTCATCCTTTCTTTAAAGAGAAAAGTCTTATCTGTGATATATATAGTAGATTTATTTTTTACTAAATACTATTTCTCCAGTGGCATAATTGAGAAAGAAAGGGAGGCAGTTAACTTCCTTGCAGACACTACGGTGTTTAATTCATTTTATTCAAATTTATAATTGCCAGCGAAGAACTCTGTGAATTATAATCAATCCCAGGGGTGAAATAACAAGTTAAAATGTTGAAATCAGCCATTTAATGTCAACCACAACATGGTACAGATGTATCTTAAGGTTGTAACTGACATGCATATGTTATAGTTAAATAGTTTTTGTGGGCCCCCCCCCCCCCCCCAAAAAAAAAAAAAAGCGGCTAAACATGCCATTGTCTGACTGTGAGTGATTGATCAATGAACAATTCTTGTGATTTAGCTAGACCAGTGAAAATGGAGAATGCCATTCTTTGAATGTCAAACTTTCCCCCCTCCTCCATGTTTCAGGATTTTATTCTTCAAGCTTGTAGCCCAATGTGTGCTTTACAGCCAGTCTGAGAATGAAAACATTATATTACTCTGAAATATTTAACCTTAACTAAATCTGTAAGAGTTACCCTAAGCTTTAAAAAGTGATTTGGACTTAAAATTGCTTCATTAAACATTAATACCATCTGAGACGAATGATGGCTATGTCACTGAGAACAGTGCCTTCCCCTTAGTCTTTGGCACAAGTTTCCTGTTTGCCAAAGTGAGGTTATCTGAGAAAATCAAACATTTTCTTGTCCTTTTAATTTTTATGCAACCCCAGTTCGGCTGTAGAATATTTTTTTTTTGAATGCCATTCCAGTCATTTCTTTGAAAATTTAATTGTTTTGATTACTTTGTGCTTTACTCTTCCATTGCATACAATAAAATTTAACTCTTTTGTTTTTACAGTTTGGACATTTAAAATAGTTATTAAAATAAATGACTCAACGCATTGGTTAATTATATCTTAGAAAATAATTGGCAGGTTTTAGTCAAGGTTGATAATTTTAATAATGGTTGTGCTCATTGTTATTATGTGAAATAAAAATCTCAATGTTGACTTAAGCTGAATCTCTGAAAACAATGTCCCATCAAATTTATTCTAAAAATAAGTCATTTTGGGAGTATGCACAAATTCTTAAACGGTTGAAATAGGATTACTGCTCTATATCAAAGTGCCAATGTTAGAATTAATAGTATTGCAATACAGTTAAACTTAATGAAGAGCTGAAAATGTGTTTACTTGTGCCAACAGTGTGAGCTACTGACAATGTTAACTCAAGCCATAGATGTTATAGAAGCAATAGAGTTTAATATTGACAGGGCATTGCTGAGGTTGTTACAGTAGCAATGGAGTTTAATATTGACAGGGCATTGCTGAGGTTGTTACAGTAGCAATAGAGTTTAATATTGACAGGGCATTGCTGAGGTTGTTACAGTAGCAATAGAGTTTAATATTGAACAGAGCTGTGTACTCCTAAGATTTTAGCTTACAGTGTATGATTTTGAGATGTCTTTTACGATTGTAGACAGAGACCTGTCAGAACTACCATTTTACAAGATCAGGTTTAAAAAAATATTTTCAGGTGGTTTTTACGATTTGAAATATCTAAATAAATAAAACAACGTTTTCGTTTGTTAGCTACAGCTCCTTTCTACACCCGGCGGTTAGTTACAGCTCCTTTCTACACCCGACGGTGAATGGACAGAGAAATACAATGGCTGGGGTAATAAATAAGTAGTAACTACTAAGATAGAGGATTTATATAAACAGCTAAATAAGGGCAACTGAATTTCACACAAGCATTATGATTCAAGTGTAGAAAGAATGATGCAAAACTATATTCAGGTATACTTATAAGTGCATCCTTGCATTTTGAATTTATAAAAAAATGTTCTGGAAAGGGGGCTCAGCCTCCTCCCCTAAGTCCCACCCCCCAATTTCTGCTTCCCCACGACATCTTGGTCTGTCAAGGTGGCAAATGACGGGCACCTTTTTATTTGCAATAATACACTATATAAATATATAAACATTAGTCATCTACTTTGAGAAGTGCCCGGTAATGCGAACAGTTATTGTATACATTAAACTGTATGTTTATTTATTCACTATTACAATATGGTATTGTACGATTTTGAGATGGTAAAGTACTATTCTGAGACTATATTGTACCATTTTGGGAGTTCCAGTGTAGCCATGGCTGTTATACAACTCAAGTATTTCTCTAGTTCCACCATGCGGTCCATTCACTTCATAAATCTTATTTTGGTTTTCAATTGTTTTTTGATGACCCATAACGTTAGAAAGATATTCTGTTAAATTCATCTATAAATACTTTGCAATGACCACTGTTATCACAGCTGACTGCCGCCATCATTTGTTATCACTACTCAAGATAAATATGCAAACAATCTCATGATTCTATTTTTTTAGATCGCCTTTAAGTTGTTTTGAAAACTGGGGTTTAATTGGTTGCTAAATAAATGTTTCAAGTTTGTTTCTATTTGCATAATCTTAGTTTTCTTGAATTTGTATAACATTGTTGGCGTAAAATTTCATTTACTCAAGTAATTTTGTTGTATATTTTACAAATTAATTAATTTCTTATTATGGAATGTTTTTAAAAGCCAAGTTTTTTTTTCAGTTGTTTCAATGTTATATCAACATAATTCTTTCTTATTTTTAAATTTTAAAATAAGTTAGCAATATGGGGAGGGTGTTGTTTGTGTGGTTTTGCTTTAACTATAACCCTCTTGAGACGGCTGGGCTGATTTATTCACCCAGAGTCAAATGGCAAAAAAGACAAAAGGCTGATCCATTGGCCAATTATAAATGCCTTGTGATTGGCTGGGTGGCATTTGTAGCAGCTAATCCTATAGCTTCTTGCATTTTTTGCTCATCTCTCCATTTTAACGGCGGCTTCCATTGATAGTTTATCGTGTTCTGTCGATTTATAACGATTTCTTTGTACCTAGTGACCATTGTAAATGCTTAAAAAATATGGGACCTTGAAATATGCCACAGGGGAACAAAATTCTGCAAGTAAGACATGTTTATTCTAAGTGTAAAAAAATGTGCATGCATAAATTATGCCAATCTGCATATCTCGTTTGTATAAATCTTGAGATTTCAGTTTAATTCATAAAGATTGTATTAGTTCATTCAGTTCCCTACAAGAATATACATAGCTTTATCTTTGTAAAGTAATTTGTTTATTTTTTTATACATTTGTTTGCAAAGTAAGTGCATGGCTTGTAAAAAGTGCTCCGCCTTCTTGGCACAGACAGTCCAAAAGAGGCTCCATCTCAAGAGGCTTAATGAACTATTGTAAAAATCCGTCAAGAGTAATAATTTTCACTAGATAATCTTTTGACGGCTGTGAGACTTTTTTTCAAATGATACTTGCTCTTTAAGTTCCTATCTTCTCCGAAGTAAAATCCTTAACGCAACAAACAATCAGCGTTTTTATCAATTTTTGCCATATTTTAAAGAATAGTAATATCTTATTGTTAATAAATATTCAATGTATTCAAAAGTCGTCTTTCAGTAATGTGCCCAACATAGTTACATGCAAGAAAGAAGATAAATGCTAGATATTTTTAAAAAGTGCTTAAATTGGTATGATAGAAAGGAGCTGAATCATTTGATTTTGAATTTTTTTAACCAATCTATTGCCAAAAAGGGAAAATTCTAATAACAGATATAATAATAAACCCAGTTGACTTTTTCACCAGTTTGGCCCAATCCCCTGCTTGCATTAGCTCTAATTCAATCCCTATCTACAGTTTTATTGTGTGCCTTCCTGACCCATTGATGGATCTGCCATTAATTTATTTAAAGATTTGTGTGTTCAGTTTTTTGTTTTTTTTTACATTTTTAAAATAATTTTTGTTGGTCATTTGCACATATCTAGTCTATGCCATATTTTTAAAAGTCATTGTGAAATTTTGCTCTGACATTTAAATTTGACAGTGTAACATTTGGAAGGGATAGAAAATCAATTTTATTAACATGCTTCAAAATTCCTATTAGCAAACATAATCATATTGACTTTAATATTGTTTAATATTTAAATAATTTAATGCTTGGATTTGAAGAATTGATACATTAAAAAATTATTCTTAGGTGGATGAAATTTTAACAAATTCGCTGAGCAGCCTTAGAATCAGATTAGTTTTAGATATTTAAGGTTTGTCCTTGATTATTTACGTTAGCTGCTAATATTAATTATTTTTTTAGCTGGTAATATTGATTATTTTATTAGCTGGTAATATTGATTATTTACGTAGCTGCTAATATTAATTATTTTATTAGCTGGTAAATTTGATTATTTTAGTAGCTAGTAATATAAACTGGTGATTTCCCAAGATGTAGAAAAACAAACTGATGTAATCAAATTAATAAATATTCAACATATCTTATTTTCTCTTGATAGAATGAAATTGTTTTTCAAGATTTTTTTTTATCACTACCTTTTGACAAAAAAGCACATGCAGATTTCCTGACTTAAACTTTTTTAAAGCAATTATGAAATGGTAATAATCTAAGCTTGTCATGTACAGGGTGTTGTTTCAGTAGACTTAATTTTTGTTTGTTTATTTCAAGTTTACATTACTGAATAATTTTATTTTGAGGGAAGTGTTTTTATGGTTTAAGATATATTCAAATATAACATTGGGTTTTCCTAGAGAAACCATGATATAATGCTCTATATGGGGATGCTCTTATGTAAAAATATGCTTCTATAAGCACACATTTGGGTAGGAAAGAAAAACAGTCATTATTATCATTAGTATCGAGTTTGAAAAGTATTGATCCTACATGTATCAATCTTAACTAATGTTAATTTACGGCTTAATCTCCTTGGAATCAACCTTAATTAGTGGCTTACACTCCTTGGAAACAATCTTAACTAATGTTAATTAGTGGCTTACACTCCTTAGAACGTGGTAAAGTTGTGATTTATAGTCATTTACCCCCGAGTCATCATCAGAAGGAATATTTCCTTTAAAAGTCATATCATCTCTCTGCCCCCCCCCCCTTTCTTTTTCTCTTGCTTACACTCCTTGGAAACAATCTTAACTAATGTTAATTAGTGGCTTACCCTCCTTAGAACGTGGTAAAGTTGTGATTTATAGTCATTTACCCCCGAGTCATCATCAGAAGGAATATTTCCTTTAAAAGTCATATCATCTCTCTGCCCCCCCCCCCCTTTCTTTTTCTCTATCACTGGACGTGTTTTAATATGGCACACACTATTCTGCACCAGTATTACATCATTTAATTAGTCATGGATTTTTAATAAAGTGGGTTCATTACTTTCTCAAGGAGTTCATTTGTGTCACATGTATTATTTTACTGAGCAATCAGCCATTCAATGCGTACAGGATTTTCTTGAGACAGCTAGAAGCTTAGTATTTGAAATTGACAACACTTTCTTCATATTTTCAATGAAGTGAATAGGGCGATGAGTTTGTTTGGCACATCAAATACATAGTTTTTGGGGGTCCGTATTTGTATGTCGTTGTGGGTCCATATTTATATGCCAATGCGGGTCACATTTTAAAGGCCATCCATTATCCTTAGTGCATCACATTGCAATATCAGCATAATTTTGTATTGAAATTGGTTTCACATTATTGACATAATCATTTTTTTAAGTTGAAGATTTGTATCTATTGTTTAAAATATCATGATTAAACACATAATTAAAAATTGATACATCTATATACATTTTCATGACATGTGTTGTTGTTCAATATTTCACCAAAGGACTTCACTTGTTTCCAGTGTATCTGTAGAAACATTTTAAGCACATCAAAATTTGGAATTAATTATTTTTGTTGGTTTGACAACTATTTTCTTATCAAGACCAACCTCAGCATCTTCTCAATAGTTTAATGATATCTTTCACTCGATAATTTGTCCCAAATAGTGTATGTTTCTCTTTTGACCACATATTGCATCAAACACATGAAATAATGTAAACTTCAGCACTAAATGAACCACACAAAATAGTGTACATTTCAGCACTGAAAATACTTCTTTAAAGAGGGATGAGTTTGAGAATAACTTTTTAAAGTTGGTTATTTGAAAAGACCAAATTAATGTTTCTGACAACATTCCCATTGCACAGGATTTATATAGGCCTACTTTTTGCAAAAACATTTTCAATAACTATCTAACATTAATTGCATTCATCAAAAGTGGGACAATTTAATAAAACTATTACATAGCATGGAAGAGGAATTATGAGAGCCCATAGTTTTTCTCTATCTGTATACTTGTAGATACGTGGGGATGTAGTTGATGGTTATTTATTTTTCTTTGTGCAGCTGACTTTTCAACGATTATGGAACCTGACAGTTTTAACTCATTTCCAGCATCTGGGCTGCTGTTTCACTAAAGAAAATCCAATAAACAAGATTTTGTTGTGCACTATTTGTGTTCTTAAGGGGTTGTTCCATGTTTTTTGTTTTTTAAAAAAAATATTTGTACTCAACATATTTTTAACATTTATTTGTGCCATTAAATTTTCCTATTTGATTTTAAGCCAAATTGAACAAGCTATTTATGTATACAGGCAGCTGAATTTTTTTATTAAAAAAAGTAATTTAAGATTGGACAACCCCCCCCCCTTTTTTTTTTTCCCTCTTCTTTACTGTCAATATAACTTAAGTTTAAACCCGAAATTTAAATAATTTCACTAAATAAAAAAAGTTTTAGGAGCAATTGACGTAAATAACGTGTTATATTGATATATAAGGCAATATGTGAATGGCTACTGAGGACCATGTTGTTTAGATAACAATATTACGCAGTTGTTAATTTTCCTTGTACAGTTTTTTTTTCTTCCTGTTATGTCCATGGAACATATGCAGTATCAATCTCAAGGGCCATTTGGAAACAATATTAATAAACCTGATGTTAAATTTATGAATACGTTTTAAAAGTAATTTGTATAGTATTGTCTTTCCAGGTAATTAATCGGATAATTCTCTATCTTTTTGGTTTACTCAACCATCTGTCTTGATAAAAACAATTTTTTTACCGCATTTGTGTTGCTCTTTGTATCTGACTCATGAAATAATCTTTCTGATCAAGTCACACCATTACCTTTAACAGGTATCAAGTTTTGACCCATAATAACATGTACTATAAAGTCAAAACTAAATTGTTGAATGGGAAAGTATTAAAGTGTTGGGTTACCAGAATAAACCAGAGTTGTTTTTTTTTTTTAAATCTATAATTTTCATTACTAGAAACAATGCTGTCACCTTTGGGTTTTTGTTTTAACAGTACAAGGCAACAAACGGGTTCTTGAATTACTTCAGAACTTTGATTCCATCTTCAGCTTATTTCAAAGAACGATATTAAATAGCCACACAAGAAGAATACCCAGTGTATTGAATGTAGTCTTTGATCCACTTATTTTGCAACCGTCCCTGCTGTGTGTGTCATGAGTGAACATGAATGTATGACATAAATTAAATAACAGGATTGAAGATTGATGTCACACACCCAACTAGATCATTACATTATATACATGTCAGGCCTTCTTTAAGAAATTAAAAAAGTTTTTGAAAAGATTTTCATCTAACAGCATATTTTAACATTGAAGAGCAACAATCAAAAACAGTGATAAACAAAGGGTTCACAACATGAATATGTTACCATAGACAAATATTTTTGTTATCATTGTTTATTGATTCAACACCACCAATTTAAATAGAAATATAAAATATGTCATGAGTTATTCTTAAAAATTGAAAAATAAATGAACTAAATAAATTGAATACACATAAACAGTAAAATAATATTATGAGATTAAAAAAAAAGGTTATCTTGGCTGTAAACAGAATGCTTGAATCACATTTCATGAACTATTTAGGAACTTCTTGATACTTTTTAGTGTCAACTTACCTGCAACAGTCATGATATTAACCCTGAGTTGCATTTAAATAAATTTGAACATATAATAACTTGGTAACTGAATTGCGATATTAATAAGAGGAATATAGAGGAATTTTAACAAGATTTTTGGCCATTAATTAGATATTTACCACATATATATATATTATATTATATTAGCTAGAAAATTAGGGGTGGAACATATGGCACGAAAGTTTAAAACACATTATATGCAGATTCTTATAAAGTGAGTAAAAATACAATTTAGCAATGTGCACTAAACTGTATTCCAGAGGCCTAATAAAGTATCTGACAGGCCCAATGAGGCACTGTCATTTTCTACCATAAAAGGAAGGAAAAACAATGCTCTTGCTTTTTTCCCCACAAATTTTTTAAAACAGTCTAATGCCCATGGATCAGTGGAGCGATGGGGGAGGGGCTTGGCTGCTATAGGCAGTGTGTGTGTGTGTGTGTGGGGGGGGGGGGGGTTTGCAATCCTGTAGTAGATTTTTGTAGGTATCTTGGTATATAAAGAGTGTAAGAAAACTAAATACTTTCATGATTGAAAAATTACAAATAATTTTTATGTGGAGCGATGGGGGAGGGGCTTGGCTGCTATAGGCAGTGTGTGTGTGTGTGTGTGGGGGGGGGGGTGTTTGCAATCCTGTAGTAGATTTTTGTAGGTATCTTGGTATATAAAGAGTGTAAGAAAACTAAATACTTTCATGATTGAAAAATTACAAATAATTTTTAATCTCTTATCAGTTGTTTCTAAAAAATTAATTACTCTAAGAACTCACCTCCCCTTCATTTTATATTCTCTATTCCAATTAGCTCGTTAGTTTTTTTGAAAAAATCAAAGGAGACATATTTTGTCATGGGTGTTAATAATCAGCTATTGATGATTTTTCTGATGTATAAGTAACATTAAGAGGTAAAGAATTATGTATCACAAAAAAAATGACACACTAATTAGTGTGCTACAAATAAGTACCAATAATATGAATAAATTATCTTTTGCAGTAAAAGAAAAACACTGTTTCCATTAAAATGAGCAAGATTCACAAACAGAACACAATTTCAAGTCTTTTACAGCGTTTACATTGAAGCAAACAAATTTAACAAATATTTATTGGACATTAAAAAATTTTTTTGATTAAGGTTAAAAAACCAACCAAGCTGATGTTATCAGGGAAAGTATGAAAATATTAAAATCTTCAAAAGTTTGTATATTTTGTTAAGTAGAGTAGCTATAATTCTAAAACAATAATTATCAACATAGGGCAATTTAATATTTAAACAAAGTGTACCGGTATTTCATAATTTCAATTAAAATGATTTTTAAAACATTTTTATAAAAACTGTAAAAATTTATAAAATATGCAGGTCTCACTGAAATACATAAAATGCTTCACAAAGTAGAACTTTGACAATGAACACTAGCTTATTGAATTGTAATACAGTAAAGCAAGTCTATCCTCTTTTCTTCTGCTGGTCAAGTTCTGGGTTCAGATGCAAGCACTCAAACACTGTGACAAAGAACAATAATCCAATAACAAAAAATGGGAAGCTTGTATCAAAGGGTGCACCAATCTCTATACCATAAGTCACAGACCAGGAAAAGAGCACTCCGGACACCAGGGGGGCAAATGTTCTGTGTCAGGAAAATGATTATCATTAAGTCATAAAATGTAAAGAAATCCTTTTAAAAATGGTGCTGTCAAAATATTTATTTCTTTCATTCATATTTAAGTGTAAAATATGCAAATGAAAACTCAAGTGCTTCGATATTAAATCATCAATATTTTTATCAATGTAATTATAGTTAACATTAAAGTTAATGAATGTGTTATACATTTTAGGCAATCCTTTAATTAGTTTGCCTAATTATTTACACACACAATTAACATATGACCTTGATAAATTTCTTTTGGCTTATGACTTATGAGCTCAGATTCTATGGTTTAACACCTGCTACAGCATAGTTGAAATCTGTTACTTTCACTAATTATGTTACATATTTTTTTGTTGTTGTTCGTCCGTCGAAGTCGACAAGGACCATCAAATCATCCAGTTAGGGGCGGGCGGGGGGGTTGGGATTACGGTGAGCTCTTAGGTGGCTTGTTAGACCGATCCTTGCTCGGAATAATCTATGACACCCTGAGCATGGAATAGTTGCTCTTTTGGACAAGCCTGCGTGTCTCAGCTGTGGTTATTCTCTTAGCTTCATGGGATTTAGCCCCCTTCTTGACAGCAGCTCTCCATCTGGCTCTCTCCTGGGCTGTCTGCACCCATTGAGTAGGGTTTATGCTGAAGGCCTTTAGTGCCACTTTCAGTGAGTCTTTGTAACGCTTTCTTTGGCCTCCTTGGGAGCGCTTGCCTATCGTGAGTTCTCCAAAGAATATTTGTTTCGGGAGCCGGTGGTCTGCCATACGGGCTACGTGTCCCATCCAATGGAGCTGAGACTGCATCAGAGTGGTGAAGATACTAGGTAGGTTCGCTCTAGCGAGGACCTCGGTGTCGGGGACTTTGTCTTGCCACCTGATGTCGAGGAGTTTCCTGAGGCAGGTAGTGTGAAAATGATTCAGTTTCTTGGCATGACGCTGGTAGACAGTCCACGTTTCACATCCATAAAGCAGTGTCGGGAGGGCTATAGACCTTGAGCTTTGTTTCTCGACTGATACCTCTCCTGTCCCAAACAGTGCTGCGGAGCCTGCCAAATAGGGCACTAGCTTTTGCGAGTCTGCCATTCATTTCATCATCCATGACGACAGATCTAGAGAGGGTGCTGCCCAAGTAAGTAAATTTATCCACCAGGTTGAGACGCTGTCCACTGATGATGATGTTGGGTTCAACGTAGGGCTTACTGGGAGCTGGCTGATACATCACCTCAGTCTTCTTTGTGTTGATTGTGAGGCCAAAGTTATTGCAGGCCTCTGAGAAGATATCAACGCTGTGTTGCATGACGGCTTCTGATGGAGCATTAAGGGCACAATCGTCTGCAAACAGAAGCTCGTTGATCGTGGTATGTTTGACCTTGGTTAATCGAACTTCGGAGGTAAGGTTAAATACTGATCCATCAGTACGAAACCGGATTGGCAAGCCCATGGTGGAGTCCTTGAACGCATCAGACAGCATTGCGGAATACATAATACTGAAGAGTGTGGGAGTAAGAACACAACCCTGTTTTACACCGTTTGTGACGGGGAATGCTGGAGATGATTGACTGTTGTCCTGTACTCGGGCCATAATACCCTCATGCAGCTGACGGATGATGTTTGTGAACTTGTCTGGGCATCCGTATTTCTTCATGATTTTCCACAAGCCAGCTCTATTGACCCTGTCAAAGGCCTTATTCAAATCGATAAATGTAGTATATAGGTCTGTATTTTGTTCCTGGCATTTCCAGGATGCGGAAAAAGCGTGGACCACGATTCGTGAGATGGTCTACAATACAGCCGCTGAGCGCCTCGGACCCTCTACGAGGAAACACAGGGACTGGTTTGACGAAAACAACACAGCTATCCAAATTCTTCTTGAGCAAAAACGCCGAGCGTACAAGGCCCTCCATGATGACCCAACGTCAACAGCAAAGACAGCTGCACTTAGGGGCATCCGCAGCAAGGTCCAGATACAACTGCGCCAGATGCAAGATTCCTGGTTGAATTCAAAAGCTGATGAAATACAGGGCTTTGCAGACAAGAAAGACATGAAAAACTTCTACCGTGGCCTGAGAGAAATCTATGGTGTCTCCACCTCAGGCACTTCCCCTCTCCTTTGTGCTGATGGCTCTACGCTCATTACAGACAAAGAGAAAATCTTGGAAAGATGGGCGGAACACTTTGAAAGTGTGCTCAATACACCTTCCATCATTAATGATGAGGCCATTGAAAGTCTCCCCCAGGTCCCAACGAACAATTCACTGGACGCCGTCCCAACTTTTGATGAGATACAGACAGCGATCCGCCAAATGTCCAATGGCAAAGTACCTGGCCCCGACATGATTCCTGCCGAAATCTACAAGGAGGGTGGACCAGCGCTGACGGATAAGCTATTGGGCTTATTCCAAATCATCTGGCAGACGGAAACTGTACCACAAGACCTCAAGGATGCCTCAATCATCCACCTGTACAAACACAAAGGTAACCGCCAGACATGCGACAATCACCGCGGAATTTCACTACTGTCCATTGCAGGCAAGATCTTGGCCCGAGCCCTTCTGAACCGCCTGAATGCACATCTGGAGCTAGGTCTCCTACCCGAAAGTCAATGCGGTTTCCGCAAAAAACGCGGAACCATCGATATGGTGTTTGCTGCTAGACAGCTTCAAGAGATGTTACATATACTTCCTAGTCCAAAACACCCGCTGTCTTACCTGCCGATAGCTGTTGTCATCATGGCCAGTCCATTCACTTGACCAGCTAGTTCTTGAGTTACAGAATTGTTGATCAGCAGGGAAGTCCCAGCAAAACAGCAGTTAGTTGCTATCTTGAATGGAATTTGAAATCCAATCAAACAAATCCACAACCAAACACGACTGGCATGAAATGATATAAACAAGAAACTTAGAATAGGATCATGCATAATAGTTAAGACTTTCTCAGCAACAAAAACTGACCAAATAATAGCTTACTTGTTGTGTAGTAGTCGGACAGTGGGTAAAATCTGGCAAGTTATTAAAGATACTATGGCTGAAACCAGGAAGACCTGAAATATATTAAGTTCAGACAAAACAGTGAATTAAAAATGCGGTCAAACTAAAAAAACTATTTAAAAAAATTACACTTTAAAATGCATATAAAGGGAAGTGCAAAATGTTTTTTAAAAATTCAAAATGGAATAGTCAAGAGGAAAAATAATTAACATAGTGAATGCATTTGTTGCTGTTCTTCTACAGTTTGAATTATTGTCTTTACTAAAGGAAATTTATAGTTATTCTACATTTATTGTTGGTGATGCAATAATATATTTAGATGTATTTTAATGCAAACATTTTTAGCACTAATTTGACCATAAATGTATTTCTGGATGATAAATTGGAACTGCACTAAGTGCAAAAAAATAATGCACACCTGAATTTGCCTCTATGAAATTTCAATAAAGGTGAGCCCCAAATTTTTTATTTATAACTATAGAAACAGCACGAAAAATGTCTACAAAATGAAATAAGTGTCTTAATTTACTATATTCACTCAACATGATCTACAATGTAAAGAAAATGAATTGACATAAATAAACAGATATCAAGTTCTGAGAAATTTGTCAATGACACAATAATATGTCTCATTTAGTAAATAACTCACCTTTCTGATTCCCATTTTGGAGACCATATAAGGATAAAGTTTAATTTGTAAAACCAAAAGTGGAAGGACCATAGCTCCAATAGCAAGTCCGATTTCATCAGTACTGAATCCTAGGCCACCTGCACATGATATAATCCCTGGGACAGTTAGATTATAATTTACATGAGATAAACTCTGGCACATTAAGTCTATCAGTTATTCAATACTAAAAACAGGGTAGGGCCTACTACTAATTAAATCAGTGATTTTCTCCTGCTTTTTTTTTCTTTTACATTCTTTGTCAAACTTTTTCAACTTAATATTTAAAATTTAAAAGCATTTAAATTTATTTTCCTTTATAAAAATTGTGTTAAAATAATATTATATTCTTGATAAATTTCTTTTGGCTTATGAGCTCAGATTCTATGGTTTAACACCGGCTACAGCATAGTTGAAATCTGTTACTTTCACTAATTATGTTACATATACTTCCTATAGCCATTTTAATTGTTTCTATAGTATAGTAGTTACTATCCTAATGTCTCATTTTTATTTTACTTAGTTTAGATGTTTTTAATAATTGTAAAGCGCTTAGAGCTTTAAGGTAAGCGCTATATAAAAATGCCTAAATAATAATAATAATAATAATAATATTCGTTATCTGAACTTGCAGCCAAAACAGAATGAAAACCCCTCTTATCAGCAGTCAAAAGTAGTAGAGTTGGCTTGTCTCTGTAATTACCCACCGTAATCATGAGTTGTTGAAGCAAAGACAGGGAAGATGTCCTCAACAGCAATGGTAGTGAAGGAAAATACTGTGTACATCATGATAGTGGCCCATACGTCTGTCAATCTGTGCAGAGTGTTACATTTTCCAAATGTTAATTTGAATAACTGATAGTGGTTAATTTTATGCATTAACGAATTCCATAAATGAATCTATAAAATGATGTCTCCGAGATCTTGTTCACACTTTTAGTGGTAATAGTTGAAAAAATGGACATAATCATGTATAAGCCAAAACTACGGGGAGTTTCTAAGCAAAACTACGGGGAGTTTCTAAGCAAAACTATGGGGAGTTTCTTTTTTTTGGAAAACCCAACTTCCAACAAGAATAATGGCAAATACTTAAGTTTTTTAACAAGTTTTGATTTTAACAAGTTTTGATTTCTTGTCATTTTTTTTCATTTGTTCTGTCTGCTGAGGAAGGCTCTTAGCCGAAACATTCTTCTTTTATTGTTCCCTCTTTCTATTCAAGCTTTAACATACCTTGTTCTACAATTTTTTTAGCACATCAATCTACTCCTAGACAACTAGCAATTTATGGCTTTTTTTAATGCCACCACTTACAATAACTTAATCAAATCAAACTCTTCTTAGCTTTGTGGTCTTTCATTTATTTAGTTCTGACCTATTCTGATGTTAACATTATGAAATTATTTCTTAACAATTACTTCTATATTTTCATTGCACAATACAAAACCATTTTACATATAAAATGTGTGTCTTTTAAACTAACTTCACCAGCAAGAAACACAATTTTTAAACACTATAAATATATTTGTGTTAAACAACAAGACTTGTAAAAAAAAAAAACAACAACATAAACTAAATCTTTAAAACAGAAAAATTACTTGTTTACTAACACTTAAGTAAATTTGCCAACCTTAAAAGCTTGTGTATGCTTGTGTTCCTACATGGTGTGCAACATGAAGACAAGCAGGCCAACTCCACACAAGAGCAAATATCCTCCTCCTCATCCTCTGGCTTAACTCTGAAATCCACCTGCCGAGCAGCACAGTCGACATATTCATTCTTGGAGATTAAAAGTTTATCCCCCTCTGAAGCTAAACTTTCAATGTTGACTTTCTCAGTGTCGCAAACTAGACCAGGCTGACTGTAAACTATTTTGTAAGAATTTTTTAGATTTAACTTTTCGTTATAAGAATGGTCACTTTGTTCATTTCGACCATTTTGTGAACTGGTCATTTGTGACTCATTTTCCTCAAAATTTTCAATTTCAGTTTCTTTTGCCCTCTGTTCAGTAGTTACATAAATAATCTCTTTGGATGAGACACTTTTGAGTAAATTTTCATTCAAGGCTGACTGAGATAATTTTTCACTACTGGAAGAAGATATAGAATCTAAAGATTGTTTTTGGGAAGCAGCCATTATGTCTGAAACAGAAATAGTTCTTATGATTTCAGACTCTTGTAAGGAGATCGGCTGTTTTTTTATAACCTCCATCCCCAAAAATGCACTAGACTCTGTGTCTAAATGAACAGATTGCAATGACTGGGCAATTAGAAGCAAAGAACTTGTGCCCTCCTGGGAAGCCCCACCCAAAAAGGGGAGATGACTCTTGTCGACGCTGTTAACAGACAAGTAGGGCTTATTCTCAGTTGCGTCTGTGATGAGAAGCTCTTGATTTTCCCTAAAAGTTTTGAAAAAATAAACAAGATTTTAGAAAATCTAATTATTAAATTTGTAAAGAACTCACAAACTGACTAGTGATAAGACACATTTATAATCAGTGAAAAAAAGTTTAGCAGAATTAATCAGAGTAATTTTAAAATATGTTATTTAAAAGTTATTCACTAAGCCTCCCCAAATATAATTAAAGAAAATTTATATTTAAAAAAAAATATTTTCATTAAAAAAAATTTCTGAAAAGACTTGTGAGACAAGCAAATATTTTTTTATTGAATTAAGGGTAGCCCACCATGCTTTCTCACCTTTTACTTGATTTCACAATAAATGTTTCATCAAATTTGAAATAAATAACAAAAAAGATAAGAGTACAGGTCACAAATGGAAACAGTGATGCTAGGAGGTATGGATATCGTCCGAAAAATCCATCGCTATCAAACACATGAGGCCATTTTATTGCGGGTGATGCCAGCAAACCTAAGTGATTTAAAAAAAAACTTTTTTAAGAAAACTTATCTTTCAAAATAGACATCAAAAATTACTTTCAATTTAAAAGTTCATGTTTGCTGTGTCAAAACTGATAACATAATTAGTAAAACGTTGTAAAAATCCCTTTTTAGTTTTTTCTTCTATTTTACTAATATTTTCATAAATACAATTTTTATTTATGTCTATTTTCCAATTTCATCCTTCTGTTGCTACAATGAATGTTTAATTACTCCAGCTTTAAGAATATTACTCAGATGGTCAAATTAAATAATTTCGAAAACATTTTCAAAAATTTATGTAGCCATATTATTGTTGAAAAAATAATACTATCTGACAATAATAAAATTTATTTTGAAAAACACATATTTTTAAAGGGCATAAAGTATAAATAATATTTATTGTTTTTTTTGTAGAGTAGGTGAGTTGGCTCAGACATTTTTTGTTTTATCACTGCTTTGAAATTCTAATCACAACTCTTACTGACCCCCAACAGTTGGTCCAACAATCAGACCCATTCCCCAAGAGATTGACAGCATAGACATGCTAAGAGCTTGGTTGGTGTTGTCTGAAATGTCATAAAGGACAGTTTTTGCTGTGCCAACAGTCCCTAGACACAAGAAATAAACATATAGATATGCAAAATTTGTGTACAAAAGAAAATCATTATTTCAACAGCATTATCAAGTGTATCATGGTTTCTACTTCCAATTCTTTTCAATATTTTATATATCTTTTAAAGAGTTACTTTCTGAAAAGCTGACTTTAAGTTCAAATAAATTTTCTCACCGTTAACTGCCCCACACATGAATCGTAAAAAAACTGCTAGGATGATATTATCTGCAAATCCAAAGAGACCAGCGAAGATTCCATTCAAACCAATTGTAATCAGTAAAACAATTTTTCTGCCATATCGATCAGCTAACCACCCCCAAAACACACTGCAAAGATTACAAAATTGTTAATTTGCAGAACAATGAGAGTTCTGCCGACTACTGCTAAACTGAATATAATCTTTAAAAATAAAATAAGAACAAAAAATAAATGATAAATATCAAACATTATTTCTTAACTCTCTATCAAATTTTTTAATGAGATTCACCTTCCGACTATTCGACCAGCAAATACTCCAGATGCAATTATTCCAGCATAAGTCCCTTTTTCATTCTCACTGTAGCCAAATGTCTGTATATCCATTGTTGAAACAAAATACAATATTAGAATATTTCCCTCTTTAAATTTTCACTCATTTGGTCTATTATAAGTTATTTATTAATTTTAAATAATTTCCTATAGATTAAAAAAAAAATATTTTAAGGGGAAAAAAATGAAATGTACAACCATGAATAGATGAAGAAGAAACTATGAATCTTAAAATTGGTGGACTATGAAATATGTTGTATGATTCAAGCTTGACACATATAAAATGTAATGAATAAAACTCTTTCTGGAGTCTTCATGTGAAAGTGAGTCATCATCTATATTTTATGTTCCATAACTGAAAATATCATGAACTTACTAAAACCATTTCAGGCAAGAAAGGAAATAGGAATGTCAAAGTACTGGCACTTGAAAACTGAAAGTTACAATAAATAACAAAAATGTTAGTTAATCCCAGAAAACACATTTTCATTATACATCATGAGGAAACTGCAATTTTTCAGTTCTTTGTAAATTAAAAAAAAAAAATTAAATTTAGAACTTGTAAAGTACGAGCAAGGTAAGATTTGTTTTTAAAATTATTAATTTGATCAAGACTAAAAATCTTCTTGAATTTATAAACATGATTATTATACAGTTTCATACACTAGATTAAGGTAAACATTAACTCATATTAAAAATAAATTAAATGAAGACTGGAATGTTTGAATAGGCTGAAAATATCGCAAATAAAAAAGAACCATTCCATCAATTAATAAAAATACAGAAAACAAAATAATTATTTTAAAAATAATGGCATTTAAGAAAAAATTCCAATTAAAATAATATATGTTGATTTTAGGACATAAAACATTATGCAAACTTACCAAAGCAACAAACACCAGACCTATATATTTCCAGTTTGGGGGTGTTGCACCTTTGTCCACTAACTTTAGTTTGAGAGTCAGCCATTGGAGACAAGAATGATTTGTTTTCTTTAAAATTTCCTCACCATTGGCCTCATGGTCTTTGCTGTCTTCAGCAATTTCACTTTCTTCTTTCTGTGAGACCTCTCGGTTTTCATCATTGGAGAATTGACTTTCATTTTGCTTACCATCATGTTCCTTTTTTTCATCCGGCACAAGCTTATTTGCTTCTTTTATCTCTGCACTCATACTTGCTTCACAAGAATTTTAACAGCTCACAATTAGTCAGGTAATAGCTTGACACATGTAGAAGTCCAGACATATTCAAAACACTTATTCAACAATAATCTGTAGTTTAAAAAACAAGAAAAATTTAAGAAAATCCACCACTGCCTAAAGTAACAATCTTTAAATGTAGTATTGATATTTTGAAAGTGTCATGTTTAATTTATCTTGTTGTACTGTATGGTTTTCATCTTATTATCATTTAAACTCTTAACATAAAAAAAAAATTATGAATTACAAAAGAAAGATGAGTGTCACCATACTATTGTTGAATGTCAAAAATAGCAAAACATTTGACAACTGAGTCTTCAATTAGGGCTTCAAACATAGATAACTAACATATCCACTCAGAAGAGATAAGAGAAAGTGAAGCATACTTACACCAACGCAACAGGGCAGGTGAGGCAAACATTGAGTAAAGCGTATGCCCTGTTATCTCCTGGTCAATGAAAAAAAATGACATAACAGTAGTAAAAAAAAATGTTTAATAACATCTTTGGTAAGGTTACAGAACTGATAGCAGGTTTAACTTAAGACATCTAATCTATGGCAGTGTAAAAGATCCTCAATCATTTTTGTGTTACTAGTCTTTACTTTTTTTTCCATAGTCTTTAATTTAAAATCTACACAGAATTAATTTGACACATAGAAAGGTCATCTCAAATAATCAATAATAAACATAAATATTAGTTATTGCTTTATTATTATTAAAAATATTAGACACAAAAAATTCAATCTTAATATAGCCTACTTTTGCTTCCTTTTTTCAACATAGATATATATAATAAATTAAAAAACCATGTAAGCTGTTTTTCATAAATGACATCAAACATCTAGTGAAGAAAAGGGTTTCCAATTTTTTTTACTATTGCGAGAGGGGGTAAAAATATGCAAAAATAGAGTGACAATATACTTAATGGATGGCCCCTAACTTGGTCAGTGCAAAGAAAAGCTCCAGTCATGTGGAAGCCTGAAACCCCCTCTCCCCAACCAAGTCCCAAGTCCACCACCCCATTTCATCAATAAATAGTATGCGATATAGGCATATACTATACGAACATATTGGATAATTGAAGATTTTGATGCCCAGTGTATTAATTGCATCCCCACCCCCATTGAATGTGACCCCAGTGTTATTGGGGAAACCTGTCCCTTTCGCGCTGCCCTGCCACCTACTAGTGTAGCAAAGGTACAGATTGTCCAAATAATATAAATTTGGTTTCTTTTGGTCATGAAAAACAAACCCATTTGAATTTGTGAGTATTTGGGGAGGTGGTGGAAAAAAATCATTCAAAATGGCCTGATGTCATTTTCATTTGCGAATGATTTGCAGATGTCCCCCCATGCGATGCCCCCATATGGCTTATTTTAGGAACATGACATACTGAATCATACTCAAAAATATTATGATTATGAGCATGACAAAATTGTACACTATTGAAATATAATTACAACCCTGCAGGCCCAGAGCTGTAGAGTAGCCAGTGTATGCCCACGGTATTCATCAGGCCTATAGTACTATAATCAACTGAGTATTATATACTATATACTCAATTGTTTTATTCAAAGTTGAAAGATGCACATGATACGACTAAAATTAAATTTACATTTTTTTTAGTATTTTGACAACTGTGACTCATACGGTCGAAATCGATCATGACCCTTTTATCATCATTGCATTTTGTCATTGTCATTATCATTGGCGTTGAGGCTGATTATCCGATAAGAGAAACTGACACAGAACAGTAAATTGTAACCTACGCCACCCCTACACACTACACTACACACAGGCAGTCAACAAAATAACAATACGACGTTGAATGTACCGAAAGGGTTGTCGTTTACAATTCACATCCTTTAACGTTAAGTACAAAGTCATAATAATTAAATAATTATATTATGTTACATTGATATTGACAATGGTAACCATGTAGCCTACCATGCCATGTACCAAGTCACAAGGAGTGTCAGTAGTAAGTCATGGTCTCACTGAACTTTGTAAACAAGGCCTAAGTCCTAAGCCAAAATTATTAGTAGTGTAGTCAAAGTGTAGTAAAGTAAAAACGTAAAGTCAATCGGTGGCTAGAAGTAGAAGTCAGAAGAAAACCAAACTAGCTACAATCCTTTGAATGAGTATGAAAGTATCTGTTTGAGTTCGAGTATTATTATTATGAAATGATGTAACTTTTAGTCAGTTAATTATTTGTTGTTTGGACACTTTTTTTTTGTGTGTTTTAGTTCAAAATTGACCAAACGCTTTTTTTTTGTAGAAGGCATTGTAGAAGGCATCCGAACGGCATAATTTTTAAATTATTTTTTTCCAGATTCGCCAAGTAACTTTTACTCTTGAAAATTTATATTTGATGCACATGCACTTGAATTGCCCTGTCCAGCCTAGCAGATCAGAGAAAATCATTAAAACAGTATGAGTATATGCAGCTTCTTCGAACGAGGAGGGCGGTTAAAAGCTTGCCCGCTCGGTCCACATTAACCTTAGTTACGCCACTGTGTGAGTGTGTGAACGGTAAATAATTTATTAAATTTTTAAAATGTTGTTGGTGAAATGCAAAAGAATTACCAATTATTTCTCAACCATCTGTCCTGTTAATGATAATGAAAAGGCCAAATATTAACAGACACAAAGACATAACAATACACAGTAACAATACACAGTAAACAAGAAAATAGGATGGCTGTACTGATATTTCTGAATCTGATCTTGAGAAGCAAAGTCAAACTACAAATGACTAGCCAGGTTGCTGGATTAAAAAAATTTTTTTTTGAGCCATCCATAAAAAATGTCACGCAATGTTGACCAGTTTTCGACTACCCCTCCCACATTGTCACAAATATGTCACATAGTTTTGACACCCACACAATAATAGGTTGTGACTTTGTCCTAAACTCGTGACCACTCCGCTCACCACCTGAAGTGTGATGCCCTTATTTATGACCCATAAAAGATTAACAAGAAAAGGGTACTGGTATCTGTTTTTTAAATCCTTTCTTTTAAATTTGCTTGTGTTTGTGGCAAAATCTTTGGATGGCTAATTGACCCACTTCCCATCATCCTATCAAACTGAAACTTGGACTTAGCACATAGACTCTTTGCCGATGACAACAAGTTCTATCGAATTAACAGCCCAACACCAAAAATCACTTTTTCATGCACTAAGTTTGATAAAAAAAAACATTCACATACCAAGAATCAGTTGTTACAATAACATAAATGATAAATCAAGTACAATTACATAAATGTAAACAAAAATGCTTATAAAGGATTTATATTAAAAAACTTTGTTTTTAGGGGTTGTTTAATTTTTAATTTTTTTTTACAAAGGAAGCACTGCTAAGACTTAGGACTATATATAGTAACTAAATAGTAACTAGTAGGCTATATAGTAATATTTATGTATAGGGCCTACTACAGTAAGTTATAGTCCCCTTGGCCTTCTCTATTGAGTCTATTGGCACAGTATTTTCATTGTAATTGTATTTAAAGGTGACAGATTGCAACAACAAAAAAATAATAATTAGAAACCTCTAACTACCAGAATTAACTTTTTACCATATGGTTGGTTACTCTTAACAAAATGATGTTTTAAAATATACTATAGTTATAAGTAAGAGCCTTTAAATTATTTATTAGGGGATGGAAATTTTTTTTTCAGCCAGCTGCACAATTTTTAACAATAATTTTAATATACATCATTGAAGATGGGCTTTGAAAATTCAATATTAGACCTATAGTTTGACTAAAGTGATTATTATTAATTTTCAAAGGTTTTTACTGCTAATCTCTTACACTATGTAAATAATCATATTCAGATTTTAAATTTTACAAAAACATTAACCTAGCTCCCAGAAGGTCTGCATGTCATAGGCCTTCAGGTCAAAGGTTGTCTTCCCCTGCTATAAATTATAACCTACTTTATCTAAATCAAGGATAACTTGCCATTAAGATTAAAATTTGTTAAGCTGTGGTTAATTGAAATAAAAGAGTAAGACTTAAGACATTATTTTTTATTATTCTCCATTGCCAAGTTCTGATTCTAATGCCACTAGTTGTGGAAACTTTTAAAAATTACAATTGCTCAGAATTGCATCTTTATCATATGGTCATATGTCAATGTTTGATTTTAGATGTTATTATTTATCAGGGCTTAACCAGGTGCATATTTTTACACCATTGGGTCCAAGTGTTACAAAAAAATGAGTTAACTTCTATTTTCTATATTATATGCCGACCTTTAAGCCTACTGACAGTCCTACATCCTACCTGCCGGTCTTTAAATAATAGGCCTACAGAAAGTCCTATACCCTACCTGCCGGCCTTTAAACAATAGGCCTACAGACAGTCCTAAACCAAACCTGGGCCTCTTTATTGATTAATATAATAGTCACCTCCCCCTAAAGAAAAAAATGTATCCCTTTTACCGGAGTTCAGACATACACATGAAAGCTCAGAAGCAAAATATATAAGAGATGTCCATCCTACTCAACTTGTAAGTTATGGAAGCCAGCTAATTTCAAAGTTTTTGTTTTATTCATTGAAAAAAATTACTTACACATGAAGTTGCTAGAAATGATAAAGTCCTACTTATTGTCAGAAAGTTGGATGAGAATTTTCAAAATTAGCCCAAGATTCTTGCTATCTCTCAGTGTTTCAACTTTTTTGTTGAAGGAGACATCATTTTGGTAGCTGTTAAACTTAATCCACCTTCGTACCATTAAAGTAAATATAATTTTTTTCTTTAAAAGTAGGCCTGGGCTTTATTTTCCGTTAGTCTATCAAATGTTATCTAGACTCTAGAGCTTCTAAGTGTGTTTATTTTGAATATAAATGTTAACATATTTCTTTATCTGCAGTTCTTTGAAGTGTTTGTCCGAAGTGTTGATACACAGAGTTTTTTTATTTTAATTTAAGATTTAAACTTGTGTACATTGGCAGCTTCTTTATTTTAAGGTGTTAAGGACTTACTTATTTTGGTTAAAATAAGAAAAGTATTTTCTTTTCTTTTCAAAATGAAATTTAAAAAAAAAAAAGTTATTGAAGGTTATAGTATAACTGTTGCCTTTCCAAATTAAACTAACTTTGGCAAAATTGTCTTTATATAACCATGAATAATTGTGTTCCTTATTATATCATTACTTACAGATAAGCCATGAAACGCTTCCTTATAATTACTGCTGATGACTTTGGATTTAGTACAGAAAGAAATCAAGGTGTATTGGAGGCCTTCAATAATGGTGCAGTTAAGAGTGCCTCCCTTCTTTTAAACTGCACAGGCACAAATGAAGCTGCAAATATTTTCAAAACCACTGACCTATGTCCAGGTTAGCATTTTACAATAAAAGCTGTATTTATTTCATGTATCAACTAATACAGAGTACAGTTTATAGAGCAGTGGTTCTCAACCTTTCTAATGCCGCGACCCCCTTATACAGTTCCTCATGTTGTGGCGACCCCCAACCATACAATTTTTTTCATTGCTATTTCATAGCTGTAATTTTGCTTCTGTCATGAATCGTAATGCAAATATCTGATATGCAGGATGTATTTTCATTGTTACAAATTGAACATAATTAAAGCATAGTGATTAATCACAAAAAAAACAATACATTGTGAACACAGTCTCAGACAGAACAGGGTATGACCCATTCTGACGCTAGGAATAGGCCTAAATTTATTTTAACTTTTCATTCCCATAACCTTAAAGCTCGTTTTCTGGTTCTGAAAATACCGTTCAATTCTTATGGCAAACCCGGTTACTAATGAGATTTTCAGAAAACCTCCTAATTTCGCTTTCTGGAGGGACAAGAGCCTTAGGGACATGCTAGTTAGAAGCCACCTCCCTGCTATCAAAGCACATAATGGCACCAAAAGTTGCAACTGTAGCTGTTGCAACACATGTCCCTACGTGATTGAAGTTGATAAGATCATTTTCCCTCTGGAAATATTCAGAATAAAAAATGTCTTTATCTGCACAAGTCCCAACGTGATTTACACAATCCTTTGTAAAAAGTGCGTTAAATTATACATAGGAGAGACAGGTTGTGGCCTTGGAGACCGGTTTAGAGAACAGCTCTACAACATAAATAAACAGGCTCTCTGTCCGGTCTCCAAACATTTCAATAGCACTAACCATGATGGAATTGCATTTACTGGTTTACTGTAAACTAATAAAACATCGGATAGGATCTATATGGAGAATAAATTGATAACAAGATTTGGTACATTGACTCCATACGCGTAAACCAAATCCACAATTTTACGTAACTGCCAGGTCTTTTCCTGTTTGGTTTTTCACATTTTACTCTAAGTCACTGCCTTTCTATTCTTCTTTACTTTGTTTCTGTCTGTTTTTTTCGCCCACTCCTATTTGTTCTCCCCTTTTTTAGGTAAGACATATATGTGTGTGTATATATACATATTATATAAATTTAATTTATAATTATTAATTTATTTTTGTGGTACTCATGAAGGCATATGACGAAACGTATACTTGTGATTATGTAAAATTATTATTAAAGCTTCCTTATATTACTATATTGACACAAATTGTTCGTTTCTAATTAATCTATTTGAAAGCTTTATCGCTGTCCAACACTTTTTATAATTAGTTAATATGACTGCAAACACTGTATCAAGAATTTTGTAACTGGCATTGTAGAGAAATCATTTCTTGCTTTATCGCTGTCAATAAGTTCAATGAAATCCTCTTGTGTTGACTCAGAAACATCTTCAACTTTGACTGTAAATTGACTTCTGGCAAGTGCAAATGGGGTGTCAGGTAGATTTGGAAAGTACGATGAAATTTCGTCTTTAATAAAATGCAAGTGTTCCTTCACAGAATTTATCATTGTAATCCCTTTGCTTCAATGTCATGAAACCATATAAGATAGGCAACTTGTAGATTTTATTTTCATCCAATTTTTTTGGCCAAAGCTGAAATTAAAAATGAAATGATCACATCCTTTTTGGCGAATCGACGGATGTTGCATTTGGTCCTTGTAGTGATAAATTTAACTCATTCAAGATGGCAAAAATTTGAACCAAGTAAGCTATTTTCTGCAGTTCCCTTTTATCACTAAAAGTGCTTCAAACTGCGGTCTTGCTTTCTGATTAAAAAAAATTTTGAGTTCATCAAGAAGCTCAAAAACAAAATTTTTTTCCATCCGACAACCATCTCACTTCTGTGTGAAATGGCAGAGCGTTGTTTGGCGCATCCAACTCGTTGCACAGTTGCAAAAACAGTCGACTGTTTAAAGTGCTCGCCCTTACAAATTGACAGAACTTTTGACACTTTTTGTTACTTCTTGTAACTCTCGTGGCAGCGTCTTCGTTGCTAATATTTGCTGATGAATCAATCAGTGAGTTCCGATGACTTTTGGTGACTCATTCAGTAAAAAACGTTGAAATCCAGATCGACATCGTTGCATAGCTGGAGCACCATCTGTGACATTCTAGCTTAGCTGGAGCACCATATGTGACATCCTAGCATAGCTGGAGCACCATCTGTGAAATCCTAGCATAGCTGGAGCATCATCTGTGACATCCTAGCATAGCTGGAGTAACATCTGTGACATCCTAGCATAGCTGGAGCCCCATATGTGCAAAAACAACACCTTTCCCCAAGAGATCGTATCACAGAAATCCTTGCATAACTGTATATATAGAGCACCATCTTTGCAACAACACAAACCTTTTGCCAAGAGATATTATAATCTTTAAGAAATAAACCACGTGTGTCAAATATATCACGTGCAGTAGTTGTCGTTTCAAAAGGTTTGCAAAAAGAAACTTATCTTTAAAGTCCCCATCATTAATATACCTCACATAAACTAGTAACTGTGAACAGTTTGCAACGTCTGTAAATTCATCCAGCTAGATACTAAATATTGGAAGTGGAGTAGATTTAATTTCCTGGATTACCTGATCAAGAATATGAACAGACATGTCATATATTTTTCTACGGACAGTCGTTTGATAAGGAAATTTAACTCAGTTTCGTAAAAAAATTTGTCTCCATTCCATAATGAAAATTTGTGACACGTCTTGTTTCTAGCCAGACCAAACAATTGGTTTCGAAGATCGGCATAGAAAATGTGTGTTTTCCAATAGTCTAAGGCGACCCCACAGAGAGGGTAACGCGACCCCCAAAAGGTTCGCGACCCACAGGTTGAGAACCGCTGGTATAGAGAATTTTTTGCCTTAGGGACATATCTCCCAAAATATTTAAGAACATATGAGGCGGTGTTACATTGGGATAGTATCATATTTAAGTTATTCATTACAATTATTTTAATTTTTTTGTTTATAATGTGCATGGAACTAATGTTAAAATTTTATTTATTTAAAGTTTGAAATTGAAAATATATTTATTAAGTTCCTAACGTTTAACTCTTTTGAAATAGGTCTTCATCTGAATCTTACAGAGGGTACTCCAATTGGGATAGAAAATTACAAAACCCTGATAGCCCCAACAAATGGCATTTTTAAGGGAAAATTTGAGCTGAGAAAACAACTTGACTCAGACTTAATAAACCCTTTAGAGGTATAAATCTGATTGCATGCAGTTACATCTGAAACTTACTAACTCAAATAATTGGACTATACAGATTTTATTCTCAGGGTCTGCTAACACTTAAAAGGTTATTCATGAGGGACAACATTCAGTTCAACCCGTGTAAAGTAAATGAATAATGGAACAAGATATGTTAAGCCTTGAAAAAGAAAGACAGGACAATGAAAAGGATGATTCAGCTAAATGTCTTCATCAGCAGGCAAGACAAAGCAAGAAACAACAAATAATTGAAAATTAATTACTTATGTGTAAATTTTTTCAAGCCTAAACATATCCTGTTCCACTATTTATTTATAAAAGTTAAAACAATGATTGTCTTCATAATGGCATAGGAATATCATATTTTTAAAAATCATATTTTGACATGCATTACTGATCTGTCTGGAATGTTTGATATAGAGCGCATTTTGATTTCACTTAACAGTATAATTTTTTTTTATCCCATGGCTTGGATTTCCTACTTCTGAAAATTGGACCAGTGGTTTAACTAATTAAATTTGGTGGTTAAATAGTTTATTTTTTGTTTTTAAGATTTTAAGCTCTTGTGACATGGAGGCTATACTGGTATGGTGATGCCATAAAAGAAGATTATTATCTCTTTAGAAAACATTTTATAATGTTTTTTTGCTTATTATTCTATATCTTTTTTAAAGCATATTTAAGTTTCTAAATTTATTTCATTTATTCTTATATTACCATTTTAAGAACTTTTTTTTTCATTTTATTATTTTTTTTGGTTTAAAATACTAGTTTAAGCAATTTTTTTTTCTAACTTTGCAAAATTAATTTTTCTAAACTTATAACTTATAAGGAAATTGAATGGAATTACATTAAGGACATTGAATGTTATTTTGATAAACATTTTTTATAAAATCTTCAGTTATTAAATTAAAAACACACAAACAATTTTTGTAATTAAAACAGTTTGGTTGAACCTTAATTAAGAGAAAAAAATAATCTAATGCCATCATCGGTAAAAAAAAAAAAAAGAAAAGAAAAGTTGAATGAATTTGAATTAAAGAGGTGGCCAAAAGTCCCTCACAACAAGAGAAAAGAGCTTTAGTTTATAAGCATTTTTTGAGTACCCAATTAATGAATGCAAAGATTTGTAACCCATATACACACACATCAAAACCTGTTTTATCAATTTTAAATAGGATACCTAGTAGTTCATTACTTTTAAGCAATTGTCATCCACCAGGGCTACATTTGAACTTAACTGAAGGGAAACCAATATTCTGTGGACAATATAAGACTCTTACCAATTCAGAAGGCATATTTCATGGCATGATACCTACCCCCAAAGTGTTAGAGGCAGGCCTAATTAATGTCGAGGAGGTACATAGGCTATGATATGAATATGAACAAACATATATTTGGTCATTTCAGGCTCTATTTCATAAAATTAACTCTATGGTACATATATAGTGAAATTTCAATTTATAATTGTTGTTAAATACTCTTTTGCTATGAACTATTCTAGAGGTGTGTATTTTAAAATGATAAGAATCTTTCAAATGTTTGGCATGGCTGAACAAATCATAGAATCAATAAATTGAAAATCTTATATTTGTTAACATTTAATGTAAAGTAAATAATGTTTTGTCATTGCTCTTGAAGTTTGCAATTATTTTTTTATTCCAAGTTTAGAAAAGTTCACATCATATTTGATCAGTTAAATAATAATTTTTACTAGATGTTCCACCTTTTTTTCTTATATCCAGATCAGACAAGAGATTGACTGCCAAATAAAACTTTTTAAAGAACTTATTGGAAGAGATCCTGTTTATGTTGATGGCCATCAGCACATTCACCTCCATCCAAGTAATTATTCAAATAAAAATGTTATATATTCAGGAGAAAGCCTGGATTTGCCTGTAATATATACATTTATTTAATAATTTTCATCATTATTCATATATAATGGCCATTTGGGCCTGTTGCCCTTTGGCCTGAAATTTATGTTATAGGATTTGGTTTGGACATTATTTTGCTCCTTTTTTTTTACAAAAAACATAATAAAATATCAGATTATTTTTCAGTTTCAGTATTAAAGCTATTTTACTGACAAAAGTATTAATAATTTTCCTCAACATTAACTCTTTATTCTGGTTCAGATGTTGCTGAAATATTTGCGGATGCACTGAATCGCCACAACATCAAAGTTACAAGATTGCCCATAGAAATAAACATGGCTTCTAAAGATTGGGTCAACCCAGAGTACATGCCATTCTTTATCAAAATGATTGAGAATGTCAATAAGACTAAAGTTATTTTGGATCAATATGGTGTAAAGTAAGACTATTTTATATTAAGAAATATTCATTTTTCCTTACTTTCTTTAACTTAAAAAAAGATGTTGTTTCCTCAGATATTTTAAATAAAAATAGTTGAATTCAAATATTACTTGGTGCAACCTTCGACATGCACCCATGTTGAAAGTATTTTATATCAGTGACATAACTTACATTTCATAAATTAGCCTATTATTTTATCTAAATTTAAGTTGATTCTATCCAAATGTAAAAGGAAGGAAGTTTATTAGTATAAAATTGCATACTAAACTGAAGTAGAAATAATGTCTGTCATAAGATGAAAAAGAAGTGCTTGAATGTAACATGGTTAATGATGTGGCTAATTATTTCTCTCAGGTCCACTGACAGTTTTACTGGGCTGTCAACCATGGGCAGAGACATGACAGCTGACAGATTAAAGAAAATAATACTAGAGGCATTTGAAGATGCTGAAAAGAGAATGGCCGCCAGAGAACTTTATCAACAACAAGACTTCACCACGTGTGAACTGATGTCCCATCCCGGTCACCCAACTGATCCAGAATACGGTGGATTCTCATGGGGCTCAGATGACTTTGGGTGCTCAGATGACCGAATTCATGAAATAAATGTGCTAAGCAGCGCAGAGATGATGGAATTTTATAAAGCAAATAATATTCAATTAGTATCCCATAAAATTCTGGATAATTAAATTAAGAATAAAAACAAATAATTCAATTTTGTCAAATGAAATTTAGGTTATTAACTATTTCACAGTTTTCAATAACTTCTAATGATTCTATTTATTTAAACCTAAAAATTGATGTGCAATCTTTTTAAAATATTGATAACCTTTTCGATTTTGTAAAGCAAATCATGACATGTTTGGTGTGAGAATTTATTTAAAATCTGTATTAAGTACATGTAAGGCAGTTGTAAGACTTGGACTAATAGTTAATTAGCTTTCTCATATAATTTGGCCTTTGCCATTACTTAATTTACAATGTTATACACTAACTAACCTCAGTAAGAATTTTCTTAAATGTTTGTCATACAAATTTTTAATTGAAGGGTTCATGGTGTAATGTTATATTTCAGCTTTGGCAACTTTTTCGCTGCTCTCTCTTTACCTTTGTAAATAATTATTGGCTGTTAGTATGAAACTCTTCTTCCAGTGCACCCAAATCTCATTGCGCTATTTAGAGCTGTTTTGTTTTTTTTATTCTAAAAAGATTCTGCTCTTATTTATAAAGAAGGTATCGCATCATGTTACAGTGCAATCTAGGGCAGAGAAAAATGGGAGTTGGTAGTCCATTTGTTATAGTTATAGTGTCTTAAAAACTAAATTTATTTCTTAGAGTGTAATTCTGTTACATTTTTTATTTTTTCCCACCCTTTTTCTTTCCTAATCTGCATTTATAAAACTTGATTTGGTGACTCAAGTCAATGTTTCTGTGATTTTTTTTGTTATGCCTGTTTACAATGAGATAGTCTATTAAATATTTGAGATAATAAAAACTTTATGGTTATAGTAAATACTGTATTAAATATATTTATCATTATCTTCTCAAATATATATATATATATATATATATATATATATACAAGCTCATTGCTCACCGTATAGAACTTGTAAAGGATTTGTCCCTTGGAATTCAAGCAATGTGAGGGCTAATTCGCTAATACATTATTATTATCAAATCAGAATGTGTCCAGGAACTTTCCAAACCAGTGATATTTCTGTTACACATTCCCAAAAACACCTTAAAATCTGTATTCTTTGTTATATTTTTTATTACTTTTCATTTGTATGTACGTTGCGCATATGCCAGTCTCCAAGGCAACATCATCTTTGTTCACTTTACTCTGATATCTGCGGTTTTCACGCCTTTATTAACATTTGGTGATTTCCTGACCACCAACTTGAGATTTGTTGAGATTTGCTCGGTTTAGACCACTCAGCTAGCCAGCCCTCCATAAAATTGTGACTTTTTTGTGTAAGTATTATATGGATGGCCACAAAGACGTGGGAGTTACATCAGCGTGAGTTTTATTACATGAAAGGAAAAGCGGTGGTGACCGTAAAAAAAAATTAGACCCACTGACTTAAAGAAAACAAAAATGTATATTAAGATCCTCTCTCTCTTCTCTAGTTTTTTTTAATGGGTTTCCGTTGGATTTGATCTCCTGACCACCAGCTTGAGATTTGCTCGGTTTAGGCCACTCAGCTAGCCAGCCCTCCGCCACCCACGCACACCAGGAAATAGACTATTTTGGGCGTCTATTGTCTTTTATGAAGTACATGGATTTTTTTGTTTAATTCACTATCGAGGACCTATCTGAAGACTATTTTGCCCCCCCCCCCCCCCCCCCCTGATGTTGGCGCCCGTGAAGAGTTCCCGGTGGAAATGTGGCGCAAGTTATGGCAACCAATGGGTTCGCAGCGGTGAAAACCCGTGCAACATTTTTTTAATGCGAGTCATAAGTCTATAAATAAATTGATTTTGGTGGTGATGCGAAAGCTGATTGTACGTGCGGCATGGGCGTGCAGAGGATTTGTGGACCCGAAGGAAATCCGAAAGTTAGGCCCCCACCATTTCAAAATTAATGTATCAAACGTATCGATTCCCCCTCCCCTTGGGGGGCCTAAGGGTGGAGAGCCCCGAATGATTTCCTCGGCCTCTCTAAGGCCCTGTACATGCTGATGTCCACAAAAGTACGCGTGCAACAGGGGGAGGAAATAAAATTGTGACTTTTTTGTGTAAGTATTATGTGGATGGCCACAAAGACGTGGGAGTTACATCAGCGTGAGTTTTATTACATGAAAGGAAAAGGGGTGGTGACAGTAAAAAAAAAAATTAGACCCACTGCCTTAAAGAAAACACAAATTTATACTAAAATCCTCTCTCTCTGGTGATTTTTTGAATGGGTTTCCGTTAGATTTAGACCACTCAGCTAGCCAGCCCTCCACCACCCAGGCACACCAGGAAATAGGCTATTTTGGGCGTCTATTGTCTTTCGTGAAGTACATGGAATTTTTTGTTGAGATTTGCTTGGTTTAGACCACTCATCTAGCCAGCCCTCCACCACCCACGCACACCAGGAAATATACTATTTTGGGCGTCCATTGTCTTTCGTGAAGTACATGGAATATTTTGTTTAATTGACTATCGAGGACCTATCTTAAGACTATTGTGCGCCCCTCCCCCCCCCTGATGTTGGCGCCCGTGAAGAGTTCCCGGTGGAAATGTGGCGCAAGTTATGGCAACCAATGGGTTCGCAGCGGTGAAAACCCGTGCAACATTTTTTTAATGTGAGTCATAAGTCTATAAATAAATTGATTTTGGTGGTGATGCGAAAGCTGATTGTACGTGCGGCATGGGCGTGCCGAGGATTTGTGGACCCGAAGGAAAGCCGAAAGTTAGGCCCCCACCATTTCAAAATAAATGTATCAAACGTATCGATTCCCCCTCCCCTTGGGGGGCCTAAGGGTGAAGAGCCCCGAATGTTTTCTGTGGCCATACGAAGGGGGATGTAACTCCTAGACAACTTCCTCACACGTATATCTAATCAAAACTGACGCTTATTAAAAATGTACAATTGATAACAGCTGGTTATACTAAAAATTTATTGCACCATATTTGTTAGAAATATGTATAGATCACTGCCATCAGTGAATATTAAATATGAACTGAAGAAAAAAATTAAACTTGAAGATTTGAATTTGAGTTTTCTACTATTTAAAAAAAAAACCATAATCTGTCTCATAAACATTCCATTATTCATATTGTGTTGTTTTACTTTAGCTCTCTAACATTTGGTATCAGATAAAACTAAACCATAGTAGATATTAGATAGTCAGAAACATCAAAATTGCCAACAGTGTATGCGCATTGCAAAATTAGAAAATAGATATGAAAATATAATATTTTAAAATTGATAATAGCTGTCTTCTGGAGGCCTAGTGAGAAAATCTGATATTGCCCTGAAAAGATAAATGTTAACTAAGATACAAAATACAGGTGAGCATGTCAGGTTGGCTTTGCATTGAATTTTGCAAAAACATAGGGACTCACTACATGAAAAAAAATGGTATGTATAGAAAATTAGACTTATTCTGCACACTTTGTGTACCGGTACCACATAGTAGAATTATACATTTACTTGGCTGCTGTTCATAATAAAATAATGTTAACTCCAACGAGTTTTTAAGCCAATATTGATTTGACTGCCATAAAACAGCAAAGGAAATTGGGCTCTTCATTTTTTAATATGATTAGCAGATAAATTTTGTATTAGAGATGCAGTTCAAATTTATTTTTAATAGTTATTTATTTCAAAAGAAAACAAATTATCTTAAGTTGATTTGGAAATAATTATAATAAATATAGAATAGACACAAATGTTAATGATTAAAAACAAATTCAACATAAAGTTTATAACTAAGTTTAAGAAGTAAGAATTTAAAATTTGATGAGGACTAATACAAATTATACAAACAAAGAAATATACAATAAGTTTAAGTCAAGTCAATAAATCCATCAATGTCTGAAGTCAATGTTGGCAAAAGAGATGCGGGTGCCTCTGCTGGGGGTGTATTTTTCTTGAACATGTTTATTTTCTTAACACCTGAAGTCAATGTCCTTTCACCAGCCTTGGTTGTGCCTGATGGTGCCATGTCATTGCCACAGTTGAGAATGGATGAGGAAGATTTTGAAGGGCAATTGTTGATACAGTCTTTGAATTTAGGTTGGTTTTTCAAGGCACTGGGATCAAAGATTGTTGATTTCTTTACTGCCTTCTTTTTGGGGTTTACTTTCATTTGGGCCCTTGGCGGTCCTAAAGAGTGAACAACAGTGGTTGAACCTCCTAAACCATTGTACCCTCGTGTTAGAATAGTGGGGACATGTGTGCGAGAATTGGAAACACCAGTCATTTTTTTTTGCAATATGGAAAACATTGATTTTGGAATTTTCAAATCTTCATCACTCTCAGATTCTAACCTTGGTTTTTTAGCAACCTGTGACTTTTCAGCAGCAGTTGGTACTTTGATAAGTTTTAATTTTGGTGATGTGCTTTCTTTCTGAATTTTCTCAGGTGATGGCTTGTCCTCAAAAAGGTCAGGGGTTAAACAATCTGAATGTATAAATGGAGTTGTATTAAAATTTTCTTGATCTCTCTTTCTAGGAGGTGTGTAAGCCACATTTGGGCTGTCCTCATTTATGGCTTTGTGAAAACTCTGGCTACCTTCTGTCTTTTCATATCTCAAGGCATTTCTAAGGTGAACCAGTTTTCTCCTGTTCTGATTGTTTTCCTGTTGCAGTTTATTAAGTGTATCATTACTTCTTTCTAGCTCAGCGGTAATTTCCATTAACTTCTGTTTTAGAGCCCTTGCTTCAGAGTGATAGTGACCGACTGAACGTTTCAATTTTGAAACTTTCTCTATTAATTCCTTTTTGTCTGCTGTCACTATGCTGTACTCACGTTTTACAACTGTGACCATACTGGCTAAAGTTTTGATAGAAGATTCTCCACCACCTATATATTCACTAATCATTGCTTTTATGTCACTTTCACAACCCTTTAGAACCAAATCAATATTTTGAAGCTCAGAGAGTCTTTCCTGTGCCTTTCGAAACTCTTTTATTTCTGTGAGATAAGCAGAGTTTTCTTTCTGAAGCCACTTTATATCCTTTAACAAGACTTCTCGCATGTTATTTTCTTGATTAACCTTAGTTGTCAGTTCATTACACAATGCTTCTGATGCTGTCAGGCGCACTGTCAAACTATCTCTACACTCTACAAGTTCTTGTTTCTGTTTATCTCTTTCACTTATCGCAGCTTTTAAGTTTCCAATTTGATTGACAAGCTTGTCAAGGTCCTCATCTTCATTAAAATCCTCGGATATATCAAAAAACAATCTCTTAATGATTAAGTTCTTTTTCACAGGAGTACGACAGCTTGGGCAAGTTGATGATGTTTCCAGCCATCGCATCAAACATACTTCATGAAATGTATGGCCGCAATGTACAGCTGCTATATTCACAGCCGACGCATTCTCAAATAAATCAGAGCAGATACAACACTGAGCCTTCATTCTTTGTAAATGTAGCTTATTTCATCATCCAAATATTAAGAATTTTCACCATTCAATGGTAAACATTTGGACGATTCAGTAAAAAGGGACAACTTTTGTTTTGATTTCCGCGCTGTTGTTCTCTCCTGCCTTAGAGTTTAGAAATTTCCTTTGAAATAGAAGTTAATACTAAATAACGAAATATGACTTTTTTTTTTCCTTTTCAATAGTTCGAAGAAAAACAAAGATCCAAATAAATTATTTGTAAATATTTCTTTTAACGTCAACTCCTTATTTAATAATATTGATTTAAACCAGCAACAATTAATTATGGTCAAAGTATTTAAACATATTTTTAAACGTTTCATCATAGTTAAAGTTAAGGGGCATCGTTTTGGCAATAATACCTAAAATTTAAGTAAAAAACGTCGTGCCTGCCCGTTTTAAGTATTTTTTTTTTCAGCAGAGCTCCAATACATATAGCTGCCAATGACTATTCGCACCTGGAGTGGCTTCATAGAGATTAAATGGCTTCGGAGCTGGGTGTGTTAACAATAATACTATGAGAATTTTTTTTTAAAAGTGTTTTTTCTCCTTTTTTCATTGATTCATAGTTTTATTTTTTTTAATTGTGTTTTTTTTTTTGCTGTAAATTTCTTTGTACAGGTAGTTGTTTTTTCTTTCCAATTTTATTTTTTAGTTTAAGCCATTTTCGTAGATCCATTTTTTTTAAAAAACCTAGTAATCAAGATAATTTAGATACATTTATTGTTTTCATTTGAATTTTAGAAATGTAATAATATTGATTTAATTATTAAAATTAATTCTTTAATTTAAGATTATTTATTTGTATTGTTTGAGTTAAAAGTGAAAGATTTAATGACACAGTACTTTATGAATTAATTAGGTATTTTAAATTATGAAAATTTCATTCATACTGAATTAATTTCGACTATTCCTCTAGAGAGCTTGGCTAAGTCAGAACTAAACCCTCAATTTTAAACTTTTTCCTTGGCTCTGGGAGTCATTCATGCGGACAGTGACTGTTTTTCCTGATATCTCGAATCTCCTTTACTTTCAACAATCTTTCACATATTTGACTTGACCTAATTCACAAGGTAGTTGTGGCCATTGTATAAAACCTGAGAAAGAGACTTACGGTATTTTTGGAGGTCTAGTCTCTTTTTTTTTTTACCATATCTGTCACCTGGGTCTAACACTGATACATAATTTAAAGTTTAATTTAATTGAAAAAAACCAACTCTTAACTGACTTGAGAACATTTTTGTTTGGTTGTTTGTTATTTGAGTTGTGTACTCCAGTAATCCATAAAATAAATTCTAGTCTAGCCGCGTTACGTCCGTAATGGATGCACAACCGTGCAAAGGAAAAGCAACGCCCTGGGCGAATCCGCCCCCTGATATTGAGGTTCCTTGCGAGTACCACCTTTATATGGCTGTGCATGGATCCAGTGGGCTAGAAAGAAATATCAGACAAAGTAGATAGATTTATAAAAAAATAAAAAAATAAATAAATATTTAAATCTAAAAATATCCTATTGGGCAACTTTTATAACGTATCTTTGAAGACAGAAGAGTTCTCCTTGTTTTTTCCACAATGGCGTCGTAAATGACAAAAGATTCATGAAATGTACATTTTTTTTAAAAATCTTGTACAATTTTGTTAACTGGTTTTTGTATTCGAACAAAAAGACGCTATTTTAAGCCTTAAGTTCCATCAGGTAGAGGAAGTTTTAATTTTATATCACTAGAAATAATTATTCGCGTTTAAATTTCATTGCCTTAATAAAAATAAGGGAAGCGTTAGTTATACGCAGTCGGCTGAGGGTTATTCCCAGCCGACTGCGTATAACTCTCAGGGTTATATGCAGTCGGCTGGGAATTAGCCAAATAAGGTTTATTATTCCGCTAGTTTGGCAATTTAAAAAAAGTATTATGCATAATTAGCTGCATTATGGGTTGTTTTGAACTATAACTTTTAATGTGTTTAATGTAAAATTTTAATTGAATTATAATTAATTTTAATTAATATTGAATGATAGTAATACTAATACTAATAGTATTAGTATTAGTGCTATTATTAGTATTATTGCTTGTATCTTATATATTATAATTATAAATCTAAGTCAAAGTCTACATTTCTTAGAGTCTAAGCCTGAGAAGATGATTTTTTAAAGGGCATTTCCATGGTCTAAGTCTAGTTCTGTATTCTGATTGATTAGGTTTTTAATGTTGCTATGACCATCATGTGGTTGGTTTTACTGACTAATTCAGGAAATACATTCTATTTATTTTATAATTTATGATTTTTTTTTTTTGGTGACATAAAATAAAGGTAACAGTTTTCAGCTTCCATGCAAAACTATAACTGTTTGAAAGTATTACTTACATACAGTGCCCTCTCTACAGAACCCCCTGCCCCTACAGCTATTTTTTCTGCTACTCACCACCCCTGATTATAATTACTTTACCAGAGAAACATGTTTTTATCTGCCACAAAATTAGTTAAAAACACAAAATATATGTTAAAAACACAAACATGTATTTGATAATTATAAGAATAACATTATTAACATTACATTGGTCAAGTTAATAATTCTTATCATGTTTAAAAATGTTTTAGTCACAACAAAATAAAACAACAAGCCTAGCTGTTTTTGCTTCATTCTCGAGAGCAAGCATAACAACTAACACGTATTCATGGCTGACCTTCGGCTGGAATTGAACTCAAGTCCACCAACTTGAGGTTTGCTCAGTTTAGACCATTCGACCACCCAGTCAATCTGATAACGGGGCTCCTTTATCGATCGATACTGTAACACAGGACGTATATAGACCTCACGTGACTTGCTGACTGCGTATAACTCTCAGGGTTATACGCAGTCGGCTGCGCATAACCACTTCGTAAAAATAAACCAATGGCATAGTTTAGGGACCTTGGTATCCACCGGAAATACCCCAAAAACGGGTATCATATTTTCGTTGTCATAATGGCGACCTCTACTTTTTAATTTACTGAGGGTATCGTTGTTTCGCGGTTCATAATCGATTTTTAGCATAATAATATAATTTTACTTCCGCCAATTACTTAAAGCCGACATCTTTCCTGTTATATTAAGAGTTCGTTTTATTTTTTGGGTCAAGATTAAAGCTTTGAAAATTGAAGTTAAAAATTGGTCAACTTCACTCAAGAATAACTTTTTTTTTAAAATGCGCTCAATAATAAAAAAACTCCGCTCATATAATTTATAGGTTCATTTACAACATATCCAAAATTCATGAGTGTAGACCATGGGTGGGCTTTAAAAACGAATTTCCAAAATGTCATTTTTTTTAGGCTATGTAATTTGTCATCATGGCCACCGTGCTTGTCTGCTTATTTCCAATTATCGATAGCAGCCGTGGGTTAATTAATAATTCATTAAGTTGGTTATCCAGAGTGTAAATGGGAAATATAACTAATAATAAATCATTTTATATAAATAAAAAATGTTTTATAACATAAATAATTATTATTGGCTTATTGAATATCAGTGATTTTAATTTTTGGGTTGGTTGCCATGGACCTGGCTGACACTGACATGGGAATGATAAGCTCTTGTCTTTGACTTAGATAGTGATAGGCTTAGTTTAAGTATTATAATAGTATTTATACTATTATAAATGATTTAAGGAGTGGGATAAATAGCTTTTATTACAACTAATATATTTATCATTTATATTAGTTTATATATTTATAGATAAATATTTATTTGTATATATATAATATATATAATGACCATTAGGCATTAGGCTAGAGGCCTTGTATACATATAATATAGTATAATACAAAGTATACTATATCAGGGTTAAGGCCTAGACCCAACCCAACTAATTTGTAGGGCCTATTATAATAAATTATATTTAATGATATTTTAGGATATGTAATAAAATTTTAATGAATATTGTGATTCTTACTTAAGGCATAAACTAAGTAAAACATTTTGAAATATTCACTTACCTTTGGTATTGAAATATCCTATATTTAATCACATATCACAATATTCCACAAGAGAATTATTATATAATCCTCGGTTTCTCAAAGAAAAAACACACTTTCTGACACTACAATCCAAGAATTACTTAAGATATTATTACTAAAGAACAATCATAAAAACCTGTACTTACCTCTAGTAAATGACTAGAACTTATTTTATTAACAGCTAAAGTCAAAGTTGATTCTAATAATACATGTTGATTTGTAAAACAAGATTACAAACTTAAAATAAATGACATGCTGATTGTTTTGTCATACTCATAGGAATAATATAATAAATACATATATAGAAAATGGTAAAATAAAAAGTGTAATTGTCAATTTTAAATAAATAAAACAAATAATCCCTTTATTATTTGTTTATGCTTATAAATGCTAAACAATTCCACAGAAAATATTCAATTAATATCTAAAGAATATTATTATTATTATGATTTTTGGGAAATTAAAAACAAAATTAAAACAAAATTTTAATTAATTAATTACAAATAAGTGATGAGTCAGCATTTTTATACAATTTTTTTTATTAGGCAAATAATAAAGTTTTTTTTAAAAATATTTGCGGCACATTAACAAAAACTAATGTATATTTTGTGGCTTTATTTAGAAGTACTCTTATTTAACTATGTTCCCTGAAAATATATTTTGTCTCATTTTTATAATAAAGTTATAGGCGTTAAAAAAAAAGCAAAATGAGGGTCACAAAATGTGGAGGAAAATCCCATAGTAAAAAAAGTGGTTTTGAGGTCCCTACTAAAAAATTCATAACTTTTGAACCACTTGAGCTAGAAAGTTGATCTTGGTGTTTTTGTAATTTATTCTCCAGGCTCTATACAGCTGTAGTATTTTTATATTTTAAAAAATGTTTTGAAATTTTCATCAAAGTGACTACATAGTTGAATAGAGCTAATTTTTAAAAGAATTATTACACCAAAATCATATTTTTAGCTGTTGTAGTTTTAAAG